GCCTGATCCTGAGGAGAGAGAGGAGATCACAGTGTGCCTGGGCCTGAGGAGAGAGAGGAGATTGCACTGTGCCTGGGCCTGAGGGGAGAGAGGAGATGACAGTGTGCCTGATCCTGAGGAGAGTGAGGAGATTACAGTGTGCCTGGTCCTGAGAAGAGAGAGGAGATCACAGTGTGCCTGGTCCTGAGGATACTTCCCTGGCATTTTCCTGCAGTGATATAAGAAAAGGAATATTTCCTGCAAAGAGAAAGCTAAGGAGGCATGGAAATTCGCCCGGGAAATTAGGCACAAAGAGAGGAGAGGGATCCTTTAAGATCTCCATTCTCTGGGAAGCATGGGTTCATTGATTGAAGACTTGCCCTGAGAATAATTTTTTAACAAATATGACAGGATGATTTGACAACATAGCGTTTAATTAAATCAATTCTAGGAAATTGGATAAACGTAATTTGCCAGAAGACATCGACCAGATTCTGAGGAAGGCCTATAAACACTTGAGTCACTACAATCACCACCACTTCCCTTCCATCAAAGAAGAAAAGTAAGTGGAAGCTTTGCTTTATCCGCACGCGGAGACACCCACACAGCCAGCACACAGCACTCAGAACACACCTGAGAGTGTGACGCAGAGACACAGAGACCCACACTGCCAGCACACAGCACTCAGAACACACCAGAGAGTGTGACACAGACACCCACACAGCCACCACACAGCACTCAGAACACACCAGAGAGTGTGACATAGACACCCACACAGCCACCACACAGCACTCAGAACACACCAGAGAGTGTGAAAAGATACACGAACACAAGCAACTAGACCCAGGTAACTACCCGCTCCACGCCAGGGGAGGATTTGGGGCTGCCTCCCTGGCAATAGCATCATGATGTTTATCCCATCCGTGAACTGCACTTGGGGTGTGAGCCTTCATGTCCTACCTTGGAAAATCAAACTTAACTTCTAAGCACAATCATTTTCAATTCACCGCCGTGCCTCGGAAACGTCTTAGTAGCTACACAGAAGAACGCGTTGATTTGAGCCTTTCCGGGGAGCCTATCTTAATTCTGAGGTCTCTGGCATTTCTGGATCCTGGAGTAGTCGGGAGGAGCTCTGGGCTGACTCCTGTATGAAGAGTGGGTGGTGTGAAGCTGAAGATCTGGAATGTTCTCTCACAGAGGTGGCAGGAGTCTGTTTCTCGCCTCAGTGGCTGTCCGTCACACCCTTGTGAGCACTGCATTTGTTTGAGATGATGAGGTCGTAATTGCTGCCATGTGTGGGCTTTTCTTTCCAAGTCTCTGATCACCAGAGGGGTTCAGCATTCGCCTATGATTGGGACTTTCGAACCTCCTCCTCTGGGAATTTATCTTCTGAATTCTCAATGATTTTCTCAGTAACCTCTGTTCACTTCTGATGGAGGAAACCCATGGAACCCTTGACCATGATAATTGTTTAAGCCACAGAGCCTCTCCATATGAAGTCCACTGTTACCAGAGGCAGAGCACCGGCTGGCCCCACTGGTCATTTGGCCACTGACTTGGGCTGTGGGGTGTAGTTTTGTATACAAGAGGATGCACCCTTGATGGGAATGGCTTCAGCATCAGATGCAAACACGATGTGGAAACAGGCCCCCGTAGCCAAGAGTTCAGATGTGCCACCCCGAATAAAGGTGGGCTCTGGCTCCCAGGACAGGTGGCCTTCTAAGGAAAGGGAAATTTAGGTCCAGAGACACACATGGGAAGAGACGGTACCAACAAGTACCAGCCACAACCTGAAGAAACAAGGAGGGATCCTCTGCTGAGTCTCTAGATGCAATGGAGGGTGGGGGAACGCCTCGATCTGAGGCCTTGCCTGAGAACTGGGAGACAATCGTGCCTGTCATTTTATGATACTTGGCCTGTAGGGCTTTTCTGTGGGAGCCCAGAAAGCTGATGGAGAGCACGTGTTAGCTGTCTGTGGCTGTGTGACAAATGGCCACATGCTGGACCTCAAAACTGGGCACATTTGTATCTATCTGGTTGTGTCTGTGGGCAAGACTCCCGTTCATTTACCAACAAGATGTTAGCTGCCTCCGTTGGGTCTCTCTGGCAGCTAAGCTGGGAGAGAGCTGCCCTGCTCACATGGCTGCTGGCACAATTAGTTCCTTCGGGCCCATAGGGTATCTCCATGGGGGATGGCTTGCCTTACCAGAACAGCGGGGAAAGCACCAACTGTCTATAGACGGGGCTATGTATGGTTCGGGGCTAGGGTAGACTCTACTTACAGGAGCTGTGTAATGCTTGACACATACTCCTGGGGGGCACACAAAGGGCCACACTTGGGGTCCCAAAGGCCTGAGTAAGAGCCAGAGGAGAGGGATCGAGTGTACCGGACTCCCCATATCAGCTGCCAGACCCTCCCGTCAGGCTAATAGCCACTCTGAGAGGAGTGAGTGCTTGTAATTATTTGAACGTGTGGCCGTGCTTATTCCTGGAAGGAAAGCCGCATCTGTCATCAGATTCTCCAAATTTAACCGCAGTTGACTCCAGCAGTCAGGCAGGGTATTCTCCCAGGGGTTTGGTGATGGTGAGGTCCCTTTATGAGAACATGCTCATTGCTCTCCGAGGCAAATTCCTAGAAATAGGGTTGCAGGGCGCTGCACAGATAAGCATGCAGGGAGCTTGCTTCCTGATCTCTTGGTGACTTCTCTGAGCCTGTAAGGTAGAAGTTCCACTGCTTGACTATGATGGGGCCAGACACTTACCCATGCATGTATGAGTACTGGTTTCTTTGTTGCCCCCTTCCTTTCTTTTACCTGACTTTAAAAATACAGCCTACATCCCCACTGTACTGCTCACTGATAACATTCTTGTACTGAGATCCAAGGATCCAAGCCCTTCAACTTGGTGATAGTTCCAAGTTACCCAGGTGACCAGTTAAGCTTTTTCAAGTTTTGATATACAGAAATGTTTTACTTAATATAGAAACAGTGTGAGCTAGCGTTCATTCCCACCAATCCTAGGCCAGGTGCTGTCTTTGGTCTTTTATACACGTGAATTCAGCTGCCTAGTGGAACCTGAGAGTGGATGTGTGGATTCTCAGAGGAACTCACTAACCCTGGCCTCCTGGCTGACGTTGTCTCTACCAACATACTTCCGACAGCATTCCCTACAGTGAGCTATGGGGGAGCTATCCTCTAAGGCTCCATTTCTGTGTGAACCTCTAGTTGAAATGCACAGGGACCCCCAGAACCCATGTGTCTAGAAGGACCCTAGAACTCTTTCCGACCCCCAGTTCTTCATGCAGTCACCACTCGCTGCCACTCCTAGGGAGCAGCTGTGTAGCTCCCGACTTGCCCAGGATACAGCATAAGCAGCCCGAGCTGCCTTTAATGGCTGTAGGACCCTTCCTCACAACCCAGAGAGCCTTGGAGCTTCCTGAAACTACTGGGCCCTACCGCCATATCTTCATTTGGGTTTCTGTGTCTAGAATTCTGACTAGAGAAAAAAAAAAGTAACATCTGTTTAAAGCCAGAATGGTCCAGGGACCAGCTCTTTACCCTTCCCTGAGTTCCTCCTTTTTGACCTGACTATCAAGCCCAGAACGCAGGTGAAGCAGGGAGGCAGAAGTGCCAGGGTGATGCCTTGGGTATGCAGAGCCTGAGGAGAGAAGGGTGAGCAGTAAAAAGCTGCCCCCACCTGGAACAGCTCAAGACAAAAGGAAGGGAGGGTGGTGCCACCCTACGGAGTCACTGTGACTCGGTCTGAATGTGTCTCTAACGTTACAAAGGCAACGAGATACTGAGCCTGTTCCCCCAGAATGACTGCCAGTCTCTGGAGACACTTGATGGTCACGGACGGGGATGTTGCTGGAGTCCAGTGGGAGAAAGCAGGGATGCAGTGGTGGGACCGAGGATGCTGAGATGCAGAAGGCCCGAGGATGCTAAGGTCAGGAAGCTCTGGCCAGTCTCCTAAAGGACCTTGGCCTAGCACACGTCTCTCCCAATTTGTTCTTTTTCTAAAGTGTTGGTCTATCACAGGTCCCTGCACTTTAATTCACATTTAAGCATCACCCACTTAGTCTCACATTAGTGACAGTGACTGTCTTGACGCCATCCCATACGCCTGTCACAGGGAGGAAGAAGCTGGGCTGTGTCTCTCGCCGACATGGCCTTTTTCCAAACTGCGCTCACCAGGCGGGCGTCGACAGAGCCTCAGTGGGCACCTGTACAGGGAGTTCGTGATGAACCAATATTGCCATGGCCTCATGGCATCTGGGCTGCAGCCTAAAATCCTGGATGGGGACAGTGTGTCCAGTGGGGACTGATGTAGCATTGTGGAGAGTTTTGGGCCCCGCAACAGCTGTGGGGCAGGGCCAGCACAGCAGATACAGCTGTAGCTTGGTATGTCTCACTTTGCTCTCAGCTCCTGCCTCTGCCACGCCACTGCCACGCCACTGCCACACTGGAGCAAGACTGGCACTGCCACTGCCAACATGTACTTATGCCCTGTGCTGAACCAGGGCCTGTTTGTTTCTTTGTTTCCAGAATACTTCTGCTTTTTGAACTGGCTCGCCTGTCTCTGACCTTGAAAAATGAGCCAATGGCCAAGGACTGCCTCTCAGATCTGAAGAAAATTGAAACCAAAGTAAGTGATTAGCTCTGAGTGGTGGCCACAGGGGGTAGCTCAGAGGACTATGGCGCCAGGGCTGAAAGAAAGAAAGGTGTTGATGGGAAAGGCTCCCATCCTCAGCATGTGCCGCCTGCGGGAGTGTACTGGCCGTGTCCGCTGGTCTGCACCCGTGTCTTCTCTTTCACCTTTGTCCCTGGTTCTGGCCTGTGTTGCCACCACTGTTCAGGGAAGGGCTGTGTGATGCTCACAGGAGTAGTGATGTACCCTTGATCCTCTGACCCCTGGACCCCTGAATATTTGCTTAGTTCTTGAAGGACTACCATAAATATTCTGTGCTTAAATCAGCAGTTAGGGACTCCTCAGTGACATGGATTACCAAGGAACTGTCACTGTTAATTTTTTTTAATGCTTATGACAATATTGCCATCCAAGGGAAGTTTAGGACACACACAGTGGTGAAAGCGGGCTTTGGGATGGTGGCCCCTGTAACTTCCGAAGCTGCCTGAGGCATTTCCAGAGTGGAGAGTGCTCTTCCTACGCATGCTGCCGCCTTCAGGAATGAGGTTGGATGATGGTGGGCTGGATAACCTGGTCCCTGTCTTGACCACTGCTTCCTGACATCTCCATTGAGGACTTGCTCTCTGCTCCGTCCTGGTTGCCTGTAAAGGTGATCTTTGGATATTTGTCAACTAAATAAAGCCACGGGGCTAGAGCAGACAGTCAGGGGCAGTTCACATTGCGAAAGGGAAAATGGGGGTGCACATGGGGTGGCAATACAGGATTGCTTTAAAAGGAAATAAGGCGCCATCTGGACTTTGATCATCAGGTGACCCTTGGATAGGATTTTCCAATGGGGTGAGGAGAAAGCAGTTGAGGCTGGGGACACATGGAGTGTGGAAGGGGCATATGATAGGTTTATTTTTCAGCACTTAACCAAAGCCTTTTGTGGTCCATTTTTCTTTTCTTGGTGCCTATGACACCAGCACCCAAACCCAGCATTGCCCCTTCTTCACCAAACACTGGCTTCCTTCTCTCTCTGAATCCTGGGTTTTGTCTATAAGGAGGCAGTGCTAACAGGGCACATCTACTCTTGGTGAGGGAAGAGGTGTGGAGACAGGTCCAGCTTGCCAGCTAGGCCTGCAAGGGCTCTACCCACAGAGCACTGCCCAGTCACAGACCTCTCATCTCCTCTGCCACAGCTACTGCCCATCCACAGGCCTCTCTGCCACCTGCTGGAGCAGGCCGCAGCTAACATTCCAAGGAGGCCGCTGGGCTTCCAGGCTCTGCCTTCCCTAACTGAAGCTGTGGTCTGTGTGCTAATGCACCTTGGCTCTGGGTATCTCTCACCTTTTCCTCCTGTTCTGTCTGAGGCCTCCACCTCCATGTGTCCAAGTGTGTCATTCTTATTCATGTATACTTGAGAGAGAGAAATTCATTTTTAGCTAAAGATTCTATAGGCAACTGTAAAATAGTATGTTTGTGTCAGTAAGTTTTCCAACCTTTTACCTTTTTTTTGGGGGGGGGGGAGTGTTCAAGACAGGGTTTCTCTGTAGCTTTGGAGCCTGTCCTGGAACTAGCTCTTGTAGACCAGGCTGGCCTCGACCTCACAGAGATCCGCCTGCCTCTGCCTCCCAAGTGCTAGGATTAAAGGTATGCGCCACCACCACCCTTTCCAACCTTTTACATCCTGTTTGCTGTTTGCTCTGTGTTTACTTCCTGTGGAGAAACATCTCCATTCTTCACTTGTGAGATTGGATGTCTCAGTTTGGCCAAGAATATCTGTCATTTGTTATGTTCTTTTGTGTGAGTTCAGGGAGGATGGGTCATCCTTTGCTGGTGGAGTCTCCAGGGTCTTCCTGAGAAGCACGCTGCATTGTGTGGTCATTGTCCACCTTCCCTGCTGGGATGCAGCCTTCCTGAGATGGGGACACACCTGCTTTACTCCCCACTACACCTCACCTCCTGCTACAGAAGCTGGTGCCTAAGAGCTCCTCAGGAAATGTCTCCATCTTGCTGAAGATGGCCAGATTCAGGCCTGCATGAAACTGCAGCTGAGAGTCAAAGAACCAGGCCACTACCAGGCTCAGTACAGAGACACCCCTGAGCCTGGTAGTGGCCTGGCCCAATATCTGGCACTTTGGCAAAAATGAAAGCAAAAACCCAATTCTATGCGACTGTCCAGAAATAAGTGAGCCTTTTGCCATGTGAAGCGGTGCAGGGAGACGATGACGGAGTCTACCTTGTGGCCCAAGCAGCAGAGATGCAAGAACATTGTCTTTGAGTCGGAAGTAGCTAAAATCCAAGCAACATAGAAGAAACTGCAAGCTTCAAGACCCTGGAGAGCAGATAACCAGGGAAAGTTCTGTGCCATTTAACCACCTGTCAGGAACCTCAGGAGAAGCCTAGGGCAGAAACCTGCTGGAGGGGGGTGCAGTGGGGTTCAGTGGGGAGAGAGCAGCTACAGGTCACAGGAGCAGGGGCGTCAGGCACACAGGAAAGCCGCCCTGGCCCCTTAACTGAGTGCCGAGAAGCACGTTCAGCAACGGCATGCATGCTGGGGAAACAGTTTACCTGCAGATGATGACAGCAGAGCTCTCTGCAGACAGCCTGGGTACAGGCCCTGTCCTCTTCAGCCAGAGACCAAACTCTGGATTCTCAGGTTGAGTGCCCAGAAGTGTGGTGAAGGGCCATCCCCTCTCTGCTGCACTCTGGTTGTGTGTAACAAAGCTTAAGGTCAGGAATAAAGAACTGAGCTATGATGAGATGAAATGGCTGTGACTATTTGCACAAATAAGGTCAAGCCAGACAAAAGTCCCCATGGAGGGGGTTCTATGTCCCATCCTAGCTGGGGGAATTATTGGCAGTTGGTATTTGTTGGCAGGAGAGTAAGTGTTCTTCAGGGATGCAATCCCCAAGGAGGTAACTCATACTCCAGTAGATTATCCTGGACCCATGCTCATTCTAGAGAACTAAGTAAACTCAGAGAGAGAGAGAGGGAGAGAGAGAGAGAGAGAGAGGAGGGAAAGTAGTGAGAGGGATATGGAAAGAGCTGGAGTGAGGCAAAGGGAGGCAGATCAAAATACGTTATGTGAATTGTGAAGTTCCCAAACATTAAAGACATCTACGTTATCCAACAAGGTAGAATCGACAGTCTGTGGGCCCTGATAAAAATTACCAGACATGCAAAGAGAGGAGACAAAATGACCCATGAAAAAATGAGAGAGAAAAGCAATCAAAACCAACCACTAAATGATATAAATAGCACTCTTGGCTGACACAAGTGCTATTGACTCTATTATAATTTATCCCAGACCTTTAAAAAGGTGCTGAGAATCTCTGAGGACAGAAGAAGGGAGGGGAAGGAAGGAGAGGAGGAGAAAGGAAAGGGGAGGGGAAAGGAGGGGAAAAGAGAGGGGAGAGGAGAGGAGAGGAGAGGAGAGGAGAGGAGAGGAGAGGAGAGGAGAGGAGAGGAGAGGAGAGGAGAAGAGAAGAGAAGAGAAGAGAAGAGAAGAGAAGAGAAGAGAAGAGAAGAGAAGAGAAGAGAGAAGAGAAGAGAAAGATACTGGAAGACATAATGATCCAAATGCTACAGTTGGCAACCTTGAAGAAGGAGGATTAAGGCATGTTAGGTATCTAGAAAGTGCAATTAGGGGTGGCATCAGCCTGCTTGCTGGAGACAGTAAAAGCAAAAGACAAGGATGGTCATTAAGATCCTAATGTCTAGTCAGCCTAAATTCTACATCTTGAGAACATATCTTTTAAAACAAAAAGGTTTTCCTTGTCTCCTCCAATTCCCATGAGCACAAAGTAAACTCTGGGGGAGGAGAAAGTGGTGCTGACAGTGAACTGGATCTGTACAGGACAGTGGTAGCAGCAAAGATAACCAGGATGTACTGTGGGGGCCCTGGTAAGCAGAATGTGAGGTGAGACTCCACAGCAGAATGGTTGGAAACACACCAGGATGTGTGTGCTGGCACTGAAGTTACTAACATGAAGTTACCTTGGTGAGAAGACTGCAGGAGGTACAGTCTGATAACAGATGACAACTGCCATATGTCACATGAAAGCAGCACCAAAGTAGTAGTAGTGGTAGTAGTAGTATATAGCTAGTGAACTCTCAAAGGAGACAGAGGGACTGAGAATGTAGTTCAGCTGGTAGCATGCTTACCTATTAGATATGAACCCAAGATTCCATCCCTAACTGAGGAAAAGGAAAAGTGAAAAGGGAGAGGAGGAGGAGAGGAGGAGAAAAGGGAAAGAGTAGATCATCTAAAGTAAAACTGAAGAAACAGAATAAAGGAAATATGGGACAGACAGAAATAAATGGTAAAATGATATAGTATATCTGATCTATTATGCTGTAATCACAATAAATGTAAATGGCCTAGTTACCACAATTAAAAGGCAAATGCTGTCCAGGTTCTAAATCCATACAGACTGTGAGAAACCCACATTCAGTGTGAAATGCTTGAGATCTAGTTGAAGCATGCAGCAGTGCTCACACTGACAAATGTCACCTGCTGACACTGTAGGGAGGAAGCTGGAGTGGCTGCTTTTCTATTATTCAGTGTCTGGTTTTAAAACTGCTAGTTAAAGAGAGGTCATTTCACAAGGTGACTAGGCTTAGCAAGTAGGGAAAGAATGCCAGTTGTCAGGTACACCTCTTTAAAATAAAAGTTGTTAAAACTGTGAGGGCAAACAAAGTCCAAAAGTAAAGCTGGACATTTCAAGGGGACACTCCAGGTGATAGATAGGGTGGGAGATGTAAAGACTGGAGTTGGAGAGAAGGCTCATCAGGTAAGTACACTTATTGCTCTTGTATGGAACCAGGTTCCATTCCCAACGCCCACATGGTGGTTCACAACCATCTATAACTCCAGTCACGGGATATTCTACACCCTCTTCTGACTTGTGTACCAGACATGCACATGGAGTGCAGACATACATTCAAAACATTCACACATATAAAATTAAAATAAATCTAAAAGTTTGAAAATTATCCGGAGAAATATGAAAGGCTAAGATTAAGACATCCTATTTGTTTTGTTTCAGCTATAAAGCACACCCCACACTGCCCTGCCCCCCAAGCAGCAGAATCACCATCTTCTTGGATCACAGAGCATTTGCCACAATAGGTTATATTCTAGACTTAAAAATACATACGTCTTAAAGGTGTTTGATTCTTATGAAGTGTTGACTGACCAGTATGGAATTACATGTGGAGCCGTGTTTCTACATAACTCATGAGTCCAATAAAATTTAAAAATGGAATTAGAAGGAATTTTTAATGGAGTAGAAATGTAAAAAAAAAAAGCACCTATCAAAGTTTGTGAATTATAAAGAGGTAATTTTTAAATATGTGGCATGTGTGTTTACACATGTGTGTATGTGTGTATACATGTGGCAGCCAGAGGTTGATATTGGGTATCTTTTTTATCATTCCACACCTTATTGTTTGAGACAGAAACTCTCACTGAACCTGGAGCTTGCCATTTCAGCTGAACTGTTGGCTAATGAGACCCAGAACTGCCAGTTCCTGTCCTGCAAGCACAGGGGTTACAGGCAAGCACTGCTGTGGCTGCCTTTTCCATGGGTGCTGGGGATCCGAACTCGGGTCCTTGTGCTTGCACAGCAGACACCTTACCTACTGGGTCATCTTAGCCATGTGGGATGTTTTTAAAGAGAGAGACTGCATTTGGTCAAGGAAAATGAGGCCTGCCTCCACTGAGAACACTTACACACAACGTTCCATTTGGTGGCAAAAGAAAATGGGTAGGAGCCAAGGTGGACATTAACAGGCAGACAGACAAGTTGTGATGTGTCGGTCGAGAAGGAACAGTGCCAAGCAATTCATAAAGACGTGGCAGGATGAATGAAGCTCTTAATTTTCCGGGACTTAGAGCAACAAGCAGGGAGCACCATGAGATTCCTTCACTCATATAAGCAGAGGGAGATGTTGTTTGGAAAGTAGATGGGATGCTTGGGCACCAGTGGGCAGAGGCACAGGCACAGAAAACTGGTGGGTCAGTGTTATCGTGTCTTCAGCTGGTGAGGCTTTCCTGGGTTTGTATAGGTGTAAGTCAAAGCTTGCCCAATTGTGCACCTTAAATATTTGCAGCTGACTAGATGCCCTGTGTGCTCTCAGAAAGCTATTTAAAATAGGGATAGGGATAACAGAAAATCAATAAATTAAAATTGCCCATGAAACAGAGATGAATTTCATCCATGCAGGAGCCTCCTCCATCTCCAGAAGCCCGTGCCTTGGGCACAGGGATCATGTGTTCTCTGGAAATACTTTGTCATGAAGACCTGAGCAGTGTAACTGTGTAACTCTGGAAAGTTCAGAAATTCTGGTTGTGCCCCTCCCCATAAACCTCTTGAAGCTTCAGACTTCCAGCGATGGGGTCTTCACACAAGGCTCACGCAAAGAACTCTTGCAGTGGTCACAGTGATGGCAGGGACAGGGCTTCTGTCACACCCATCCACAAGGGCAGGGCACCTCATACCAAAACCAGAAGTTTTTGCTGCTCAATTACAGTTGCTAAATTTTATAGATGTTGTAAGGTAGTTTGTTATTTAAAAATTTAAGCCAGGATCTCACAGACTCCCCACTTCAACATTACATTTGTTCTCAGCTGCCCTCCAAAACTTGATGGTTTAGACCCTATTGCTGAAGATACCACAAGCTTTAGACATAGAATTTAAAGAAGTCAAGTCAGTATGTGGAAGCTTCATCCCTATTCAGAACTCTGGCTTTCAGAGTACTGATTCGAAACACACTACCAAGGGAGAAAGGTTGCCATTAGTCTTGTGCGGTTGTGAATCATGTGAACTACAGTAACTTCAAGCTGAACAAGATGTGCCCATGGTACAATAGTGGCACAAATGTTATAGGGAAAACCAACCACTTTCTGACTGCCGTGTCCACTCCACATGGCAGAACTCACGTCTGGCACTGCTAGCATGGCCCAGAATCCAAGGTTATCCAAAGCTAGGCAGGTTTCAGGCTCCAGAGAGAACCTAGTGTTGCTGTTCTACTGTAAGGGCATCACAATAGACCGACTCCTGAAGACCTGTCATACTCATAGGTCAGCGCATCGCTCAGTCGTGAGAGAAGTTCTGTATGGTAGAAAATGAACCCAGAGTCCCATAAATGATCAACATACAGAAAACAAAAAATTGCAGCGTGCTCAGCCCTAAATGTATTGTACCCCACCTCCCGAAACTCAGGATTGTCGCAGAAGCGAGGGTGGAAAGAGTCTAAGAGCCAGGCACAATGAAGCAGTCTCCTGGGCTGCTGCACACATGAGCTAACTGTGGCTGTGACAGCAGGCACAAGACCCGTAGAAGATGAAGCCAACCCAAATCCCAGCACGCAGTGAGGAGGTCAGAAAGATTCCACACCTAGCTGAGAAACTATTAGCGATCAATGGCTGCTAAGAGAAGGAGGGGCTGTTTTCTTCAGGGATGCCACCCCCGAGAGGTTACCCAAACTCTGGTAGATGGCTCTACACCAACGCACATGCTGACAGCAATACATGGGTTCTGTAGGGTTTTTTTTTAAGTCAACACGGAATTTGGAGGGAGTAGAGGTGGTGCTGATGGAAGAGGAGTTAGAGGGGAGTGCATGGGAGTGAGTTTGGTTCAACCACATTGTATGCACTTATGAAGTTCTCAATAAAAAAGGCAAAAGAATTTAAACCAGAGGCTAAGGAGATGACTTGGTGTGTAAAAGGTGCCTGCCACCAAGCCTTAGCACCTGAGTTTGATCCTTAAAATCCACATTGCGAAAGGAGATAACTCTTGCGTGTTGCCCTCTGACTTCCATACTCATGCAATACATTTACATGATCATTGTCTGAAAAAATCTAGGCCAGGTGTGGTGGTTTACTTCCATTGTCCTAACTCTCAGGAAAGTGAGGTAGGACTGGCGTGAGTTCAAAGACTTCCTGAGCTATATAGAGTGAGTTCCAGGAGTCTTGGCTATCCTGTGAGACCCTACATTTTAGAAAAAGAGAAAACGAAAAACTAAAGACAAATTCAAGGCCCTCTAAAATCAGTGAGGGTTTTCCTCCCTCCTGTTTCAGAAGACTCTCTCCCTTTGTGTCTTTCGAGACACATTAGGTTTTTGTCCCCGTGACTTTGCACTGCTCTCTGATTGTCCGTTTTCTGGTTTCTGTTTCTTCTGGGAGTTGAAGGCATTTGAAGGGTCTTTAGGGCTGATGAATGTGGCTTGATTGCCTCCATTTGTGTCTTTGTGCTCGAAGTTCCGCCTGTATTCACAGGATCCTGGCAAGCTGCTCGAAATCGAAGGCCTGGAGTGTGAACTGGAAGCTCTGAGACTGGAGAGTAGAGTTAAAATGTACTTTCGAGGAGCCGTTGAGGTAAAGCCCGAGTCAGAGTTCCGCTGGAGCCAGGATCCCTGGGGTCAGGCTAGCGTTGCACTGGTGCAGCCTGACAGTGAGGTGCCTGGACGTGGGGAGCCGGGGACCATGGGGGACACGACTGAGAACAGGATCAGTGTGGGGCTTGAGGAAGGGCTCAGAGAACGGTATGTTCCATGGGTTCTGAAATCCCAGCCTGGAGCATTTCTTCTGGGAAGGACCCATAACACAAACGAGAGGTGATTCTTTTCGGGTGGTGAATGAAAAAGGCAGCCCTAGTGAGGAGACGGCGGTAAGAAACAACGGGCTCTGACTCCACTCGTGCAAGAAATATGATGAACCGCAGCTGTGTCTAAGCCCTTCATAAAGTGCCCACTTCAGAATAGGAAGGATCGCTGAGGCATTCTCAGAGGACTGGGACCCTGGTCTGATGACCCCGCTAATCTGCCACCTACCCTGACTGCCATCCCCAGCACTGGCTTTTCCAGATGGCCACCGTAACTAGTTTCCCACCCTCGCCTCCCAGCCCTTAGCCAGCCACTTAATATGCCCCCTACAGGAGCTGCTGAATATCATCAAGAGACTGGACATCACGCTGCAGGGGGCCATCCGTTTGGGTGACTCCAAGCTTATCCATGTGCTGTGTACCACACAGTGGAACACCTGCCTGCCCCTGCTGCAGCGCAACCTGAGGTTCTACCTCCGGAAGCCACTGACCACCATCGCTGAGATCCTGGAAAAGATTGATAGGTGGGCGCCATTTCTCCTGTGTTCTCCCTAGGGTCGGCCTTTCAATAGGGGAGAACTGGGAGAGGCCAGGGTGTGAGCGCCCTGTTCTCGGCATCACTTGCGGGACGCACAGGTACAAGAGCCCGGCTTCCTCCTCTTGTGCCTTTCAGTCACCCAGGCAACACAGATCAAGAATCCTCATGGTATAAACAGTCCTCATCCTGTCTACCTGCCAGCGGAGGGCGGTGGTGATTATCTGGAGGGAGACTTGGAAATGTATCCTCAGTAGCCATTGTGGGCATGTCGTGGACGGCCTAGCATCATAATCCCAAGACTCCTTCTAAGTGCACCGCCCTTAGCTCACGCCACACTGCAGGTCCCCTGCCATTTCATGTCCTCACAAACACTTGGCTAGATTCACCCCTTGGCTTCAGCTGTGCTGTGGACGTGCACTTGTATTCAACAGGAGATGCTTTTTATTTCCCTGGGTGGGCAACTGTCTTTCCTGTGCTGTTGACATTTGCCTGTCCATTTTGGTGACCTGCCTACTCAGACCTTACATCCCTGTCAGTTTAACATCAAGGCCATGCTGACTTTATGTGCTGATTTGTGAGGTACCCTTCTAAAAATCGCTTTCCAGAGGAGTCGATACACCTGCTTGTCATGTTTGCCATCGCCATGAGGGAAGTCATCCAGGTCCAGGGTGTGCTTGTCTGATTGACAGTATCCTGAGAAGGCCTTCAGTCTGAGACAGTCCCCGAGTCTGGACTGAAATGAGTGAGCCCGTTCCCAGAGCACTGTGTCGCCACGCTTGGGTGGTCACGTGGCTCATGCTCTGCATCCTGCTTCTGGCCAGTTGTAAAGATCTCAGGGAGGGGAGTACCGCACGTCCTAGCAGGGAGTGATGCCACCACCTTCCCTCTGCTCTGGTAGATGCAGTCTCCATTAAGGCTGCGTGTGTGCCTAGCCTGGCATTCTGTGTTGTTTGATGAAGACTGTGACATGTCTGCTTCCCGTGCCCCCTGTTGCACAGCTTGGTCTACCAGAGCTTGCCTTGAGGTGCGCAGCCTGGGCCCTCACCAGAAGGCTGTCTTCATTCTGCCACTGCTCTGTCCCCAGGAGCTAGCTGAAAAGTCGAGAATCCCCTCTCCCTTCTGTTGGCCTCCTCGCTTTTATGTGTCTCTTAGGAGATTGGGGGGCTCCTCCAAGGTCAGAACTGGGCTCCCTTTACCTAAGAGAGCCTGTATGAAGCATCAGTTCCCATGATCCCTCTCTCCACCCATAGAGATGCCAGCCTTATGCCACCACGGTGCCACCCCACCCATTGCTGGTCATCTTTTAATTCTGGGAAAACCATAGCCTTTTATGTTCACCTCATCTTTGCGGCTTCCTGAAGCATCTCCTTCTTCCAAAGAGCAGAGCTCTCCAGCTGGGGGGAGGGGCAGAGCACCCATCCTGGAGCACAGGGCATGGCCGATGGATGCCCTCAGCCCTGCTGAACAGATCCCACCCCATCTCAGTTTCAGAAACTGTTGCTTGTTACTAGATGCAGGGCTGGCAGACACACTGGTCTTTAAACACCTTGCAGGGGTTTTCCTTCTGGTCTCCACCATCTCTGATGGTGTCCCCCCCCCCTATATTTTCAGCATGTTGATTATAATATTCCTGGGAGCCTTTAAAAATTTTAATATAATTCCAGTATGCTAAATGACACTTTTATAAGATTTGGGGAGTTATGAGCTATTGTTTCTTTGGATACATTCCTCTTTCTGGGATTCTAGCTATGTGCATGCAGAATGTGCCGTGTTCCTCATGGCTCCTAGACACTGCTTGGTATTTTAACCTTTTTGACCTCCATTCCTCTGATCAGGCCATTTCTGCTCGTGAGCTTGCTGGCTGCCCACTCTGCCATTATACTAGTCTAGAATGGCCCTTCTTTCACTCCCATGGATTTTGGGTCTGGTATCGACTTTTTCCCACTGTTTTGCCTTTTTTTTTTTTTTTGTGAGCAGGCACATGATCTGTATATTGTGATATCTACTTTAAAAGATTTATCCGCAAAACCCAACAGCTGGTGCATCTGCGTCCTGAGCCTGTGTTAGAGTCTTCCATCTCCTGGCACAACTAATGGACTCTATGTTAACCATTGCAGATGGTATCCTATGGATTCTTTGCATTTTTGTTTGTTTCAAACAGAGTCCTACATAGCTAGTAGACAATGAGGCCCTGGCCAGCTCTGAGTTGACCTCCAGTTTGCAATGATCCTCCTGCCTCTGCTTCCCAAGTACTGTGAAAGCACCACCATGGTTGTTGCCATTTTAAAAGAAGTGTTGTTGTGTTTAAAAGAAGTGTTGGTGGGCAGTTTAATGTTGGCTGGTGCTCTTAAAATCACACTGGCTGGTCCACCTTGCTCTAGCGTATCTCTGGGCAACCAGGTGTTTCTCATGCCCATCCCGGAGAGAATTTGCCTGCGACACAGCCTCTGTTCAGGCTGAGCTTTGTATCTTGCTGTGGACAGAGGGACAGAGATCCCTGCCATTCATCAAACCCATGCTCTGCCTACTGTCTGCTTAGAGGATACTGTGCCCAGCTGCTCTGCCTGTCAGGAGCCCATGGCTACCTCCTTCCTGAGTTTTCTTCCATGGGACCTCGATTTCATGCTTTCCAGTATCAGTGCCTAGAAACAGCTGCCCTCTTGTTAGAGCATTTTTCAGATGCTGTGGGTGACCGGGTAACTGTCTTCTGGAAACAGAAGCAACTGTAGCCTCAGGCCAGCTCTCTGGCTTGTTTTCAGGTTGAGAACTCTGGTTTTATATCTGTTGGTTGTGATTTTCATTTCTGGCCCCCCTGTGGGCTTCTCTTTATGACTCCTGCTGTCTGCTCCTGGCAAGTTTCACGTGGGCCCCTCTTCCCCCATCCACACTAGGCACCGTGGCGCACCAAGATCCCTGCTCCTTTGGGGAGCAGAGCTCCAACACCTGTTAACCACAGGCTCTCTCAGCTTCTCTGTGCAGGTTCATAGTATTTCTATTACCCCTGGGGTCATGGGAATGTTACTATCACTTTTCTTTCTCCATTTTAGTAGAAGAATCAATAAGCCCATGCTCTAGCAGTCCATAGGTGGTTAGCTCTGTGTCCTGTGGCGGTGGTTAAGGTGACCCCCTCCATCACCACTGTCCAAAGCTTTTACTCGGGTGTAGAAGCTTCTCTAACCCTGGCTGAGTTCCAACCAGAATGTGGCTAAGCCTCCTGGGCAAATGTTCCGTGTATCCGTAAGGGTAAAGACAATGGAGCACAGCACCGACACCAAGCATGTTCCAGGAGACAGAGGTTCTTCACAGGAGACAGCGGGGCGACAGTGACAGCTGGGTGGCCATGGGAAAGCTGAGCCTGCCCTTGTGCTCTTGTCGCTGTAGGGAACACTACGCTAACCTTTCCTCTGCTTCTTCTCAGCCTGGGCCCAAGGCTCATGAGCACAACTCCAGCGGCCTATACCAACTACTGCGGATTTCCCCTTCCTTTGTGAGGTTTCTAGAAAAGACAGGAAGGAGGCTGGAAAGCAGGGCTCTGGGGCAGCCATATCAGTCCATGCCTCTTGCTGGTGACCGGACATAAGGCCCCCAGGCACGCCAGCAGCCCACCATAGCCTCCTCACGTGTGCTGTTATTTCTAGTCTCATGATCCTGATGCGCTGCCAAGTCCACATGGAGCTGGCATATATCGACCAGGACGAGGACCGGCTGGAGCCCGCCATTGATCACCTGCAGAAGGCCATGCGTCTGGACAGCCTGGGCCTCTATGAGGATAAAGTGAAGGTCGCTTACAAACGGCTACAGTTGTGTACCATGCTGTACCAGTCCCCCGACCGTCCCGAGGACAAAGCCACCATGGCCATTGAACAGGTGCAGACCCAAACCATTGTGGGGCCAGCCCGCAAAGGAAGAGACTAAGGAGAAACCCTTAGTGGCCATGCACACCCACGCATGAGGCCCAGGCTTAGCTACGCAAGGTCTGTCTGGCATCCTGAAGGTCTGTGGGAGTTCTGTTGCCTGAGGGTGGAACCATAAGTTGCCTTAAGAGTCTCAGCTTTCCCGGGAGAGGGGCTACCTCATATCGTGTCCATCATCCTGTCTGCAGGCAAAGAAAGCCACCATGAAAGACAGTGCCCGGAAGAAGCGTGCACTCCTGGTGAACGCAGGCCTGGCCCTCGCCCCTGACGCCTTCCAGATTGTGCTGGACAGCGAGAATGAGGCCAGAGGTTAAGTGCTGCCCTTGACCTCACTGCCCTCGACCTTGTAACATACTGCATTGATCTCTGGAAGCACTAGAGAAGGATTGTGTCTACACGCGGCTACTAGTAGCAGAGTACCACTGTCAGAAATTAACTTCTGTTCTAGATGCTGGACATCAGTGATAGGGATGCAATGGGCTGGTCTCTTTCGGTGCCATCTCCCCTGGCTTGTGGATAGTCGTCTTTGCCTTACGTCCTCACTGTCTGTCCTATACATCGACCTCAATGTCCTCTTTGCACAAGGACTCAGTCACCCTGTGAACAGAGCCTCCTGGTGGTTTCCTCAGCCTTATCATTTATTCAGACCCCATCTCTTGAAAATGAGGCTGTGTTTTGGAATCCCAAGGGCAGGGCTTGAAAACAGCCTCTCTGGGTACACAATTCAGCCCACAGTGCCATTTGAGGAACAAAGGCAGCAGCTCTGGGGATGCTCTTTGTGCCAAAGCCGAGTATATTTCACTGACCTGCTTACCTGGGCCACCTCCTTTGTCCCCAGGGTAGAAACAGGATTGTACTATACCCTGTTTATACTCACAGCTGCTGAGCCCGGCTCTCAGGGTCAAACCAGCAACTCTGGCTAGATTGGTAGCGCCACTGTCGCTAGAGCCACAGACAGGTCTTGGTTGGTGGGGGCACTCTCCTGGATCTCCCTCCAGCACAGCTCTGACAGAAAGCGTTATAGGGACGGGAGCCTTAGAGATGACGGTTTGAAGTTGAGTTGGCTGTAGCCCATGTTGTGGGTCCAAGACAAGGGGCAAGAATGGGAGGGTGGAATCATGGCCCTGGGCTGGGATCAATGAAGTCTCTGGAAATACAGCCCTGCTGGCCCAGGAGCTGTCTGTCTTACTCCACCGCCTCCTTTGGCCTTTTCACGACTCTGGCTTTGTTTTGCCCCTCATGAGTCTGAGAATGAGAAGCTGGAGGTCTGTTGACATTACATGGGTGGGTCCATCCTACTTGGTAGGTTCATTTCATTAGATGAATATAAACAGCCAAAGAGTCTGCATTTTCACCAGACGACAGAGTGCCAAGCTGGCACCTGAGGGCTTATCAAGGCAAGGGGTGGTTTCAGGGGGGAGGGAACCCCAGCAAGTAAACACCTATGTTAAATATGGAAACACCAAGGAGGTAGGAGATCACCTGAGAGGAGACACACTCTCCCAAAGCCCCCGTGTCCACCCTGGTGTCTCCTGTGGCTGGCTCTGCACTGGACAGCTGGTTCTCACTGGGAAGCTGAGCTCTGGGTGGGCGCTCATCTTAGATCTGGAAAAGGGGCAGTGATTCAGAACCTCCACATCAAGCAGACATGACTACTGAGTTTGTGAGTGAATAATGGGTGCTGCCTGAGAGGCCAGGGTGTGTGGGGCAGGTCAGAGGCTTGATGTTTCTGAGTGAACATAGGCTGTCTCGGAGGACTGGAGGCTCTACCCACTCCATAGTAGCTCAGTGTCCTTGCTGGTCCAAAAGCACTAAAGATGGTTTTAGTGATGGTGATGGGGCCTCTTCATACCCCTAGAATGAGCTCAGCTGTCCAGACCTCATTCCTGACTTTGATCCCATTTGTCTGGGTCAGCATTGCTATCGCACGCCCAACCCTGGCCCACCTCCTCAGCTCGGATGTTTCCTGCCTTCAGTTTCCACAGGGAAAAACAGGGGTCGCTTCACCTACCTCTGCGCGAAAGCGCGACACCATATCCTCAGCGTGGACAAAGCTGCTGGGCACCTGAGGCGTCTGGGAAACGAGAATGACAAAGAGAGGTGAGCCAAGGAGGAGGGATAAGGTAGGTCTGTCAGCTGATGCCTTCATCCAGGCACTGACTCCGTGGCTACCTGGGACCCTGTGAGAGGGGACAAGTCACGTAAGCTCCACGGGCAGCCTCTGTGATGAGGACATGGCTTTTTCCTGTGGGACAACTGGGCCACTTACTAGGGCATTCTGGCCAAGGCCACCAGAGGAGTCCCCAACCTAGGGATACCCATCCACACCACACACAGGAAACGACTCTGTGGGGACATTTCTCATTAAGTGACCAGAAGTGTCACTGGCACTGGGGAAAGGCCAGCAAGCGAGCTGCATATGACCTTGGGGACAGTCGTAGCTCTGACCTCTGGGCCTTGACCCTACAAATTGTTCCAGCTCTGACCCCTGAGTTATGGCCCCTGCATGACCCCACTGTCCAGGACGGTCTTTCCATTCATACCCTCAGCCGACTGCCCTTCTGTGTCTCATTCAGTACTTGGCACCTGCTTGCCATAAGGCGGCTTTCCCCCACCCCCGGAACCATCCCTCCAGGTGTTCCTAACTTCACCTGTGCTTCCTTTCCACCGCCTGGATCCTGACGCGCAGAATTGTGATTTGGGCCGAGCTGGCTAAAGTGGCCTGGAAGCAAGACGTGTGCGATGTGTGTCGCACAGCAGCCCGCTTCTGCCTTCTGTATGACAATGTCAAGTCAAGGAAGTCCACAAAGCTAAAACGAGGTGTGCATCCCTACCCTGCGTCCCCTTGGCTTGTGGGCAGGCTGAGCTTCAGGGCGTCAGGAACCTCTGGTGGCTGTGGCAGCCACAGTACCTCTGCACCATTAGAGCCCACCACAGGACAGCCAGCAAAGAGCACAACACGGAGCCAATGGCCACTTCCTGGAAGGGTTCTGGCCATGGGTTTGGGTTTGGAAGGGCCTTTTCACAGATAGCAGCACCTCTGAGTACATATTGGGTCTGGCCTCTGTGTCTGCAGACTCCACATCCACAAGGTCAGCCACGAAAGTCTGAGAATATCGGCAACAAAAACAAGCATTTCTGCTGAGCATAGATAGCCTGCTTCCTGGCTATTAGCCCCTGACCATTGCCCTTTAACAGTGAACCACACGATGCATAGATGGCAGTCAGTGTCACGGTCAACTACAGATGGTTTATAGTTCAAAGGGGGACTGTGTAGATCCCAAGTTTACTTGGCATCGTTTTATAGAAGGGAGTGTGCCTCAGTACTCTTGGGGGCGGGTCCCAGCAATACTGAGCGGCAGCTGGACTTAAAACTGATCAATAGTAACCATGAGGGCTTCAGGGTTATAGCAACCCATGCCCTTCTTGAAGGGCTTGTCCCACCAAGAGCTGGGCAGAGACTCGGGGAAGCAGGTTGGTGGGGGAGGAACTGCTGAGGTTTGGCTTGCTCAAAAAGGGCCTCTCTGTGCCTGCGGCTGTTTTCTCAGGGAGGAAGAAAAAAGGCGTCGAGGGCTCCCAGCACGACTGGGAACAGTCTCAGGTGGTTCTGCACAGAAATATGTCTGCTGACCTGCTGAGGAAGATCGCGGAGGTGGCCTTCCTCAGTGCTGAGGTGCGTCATGAAGGTCTTGGCTGTCGTAGCTGTCAGTGTGGATGTGGCCAGTAACACAACAGAGAGACTTGTCATACAGGCTCCCCGTGGGATACACATCCCTAAACAAGACTGTACTCTAGAGAGAAAATTAATTCATTTCTTAGAAGAGTGCATGAGAAAGGTGTGAATTGAGATGCATTGTGCTGTGTGTTGGTGTAACTTTTCTTCGTGGGAAATAATTTCTGAATTCTCTGGATGTAAAGTTATATTTGGGGATTGAACGGGGAGGTGATTTAGGAAGTCCCTGAAGGAGGTGTGATCTCTGCTAATATGACTCTGTGGGCTCAGCCGAGACTTGGGCTGGATCTTGGTTCCCCAGAACTAATAGGCCTGCTCCTTTACAGATGGGGTACTGAGACCCAGGGCTGGACCTACCCAAAGCTAACCATGTATATCGTGACCTAGCTGTATCTGAAGCCCTTGATGTGAGCTCTCAGTCCCCACACCCGTGCCAGCATCAGAGGCAGCCTTGGTCATGTGTTTAACCCTCACCGTGGTATAGCATTTCCATCGCTTTTACCCAATGGGGTCAAAGCAGATGCTGGGGGCGCTCACCTGTTTATTCCATCAGAGTCTAGTGACACAGGGTGACCAAAGACAAGCCCTGTGCTCAGGGAGCACACTGCCAGATGGCAGTGCCGAGAGCGGACATGCAAAGAGACCTGTGGCTGAGACCGACCAACTGGCCTGCCAGCTAGGGGCCGGCCTGACCCATGTCCTCCCACCCGACCCGTGTGTCCTGCCACCCCATCTGCCTGCCAGGTGGGCTTTGCAGAAGCCTTTGGTGCTGCAGAGCAAGATTGGGAGGCTTCAGGGAGATGATCAGTCAGCCAGCTTCCATGGGAGAACACGAGGACTGTTCTGCCTGCCCGCCAGAGTGTGATGTGGCTGTGGGCTGTGCTCCTGAAGGAAGCCCTCCTCCCCTGGCAGGCTGTTGAGGCAGGTGGGGTGTGCAGGCCCCTCGTGCACTCTTTACTTGTGTTTGGCTTTTTCAGAAGCAGAATTTGCTGTGTGTTCCCCGAGTGCTGTGGTCTGCCTAGCTGTGACTTCTGTGACCCTGTACTTCCTCACAGGCCACGGTCCACTTGCTGCGCTTGGAAGGTGTGGAGCTGAATGACCAGGCCATCCCCCCTGAGGACTTGAGCCAACACCCAGCTGGCTATGTGCCTGAACCACCAGAGAGCAATCCCGAGTGGATCACATACAGGTGGGTGAGAGTCCCAGCCATCCTGTAGCCCAGCGGTCTACAATACCTGTGGGTCGCAATACCTTTGGGGTCACATATCAGATATCCTGCAGATCAGAGATTTACACGACATTTTGCCACAGTAGCAAAATTAGTTATGAAGTAGCAATGAAATAATTTTATGGCTGGAGGTCCCCACAACATGAGGAACTATACTAAAGGGTCCCAGCATTAGGAAGGTTGAGAGCCACTGCTCTGGACCATGGGTTTCTGAAGAACTGCTTCATTTGCCCAGACCCAGTTGTGGATGAAGCAGGATATACAAGTTAGAGCCTAGGCTGTTTGTAAGCCGTGGTTAGAGTGGCTTGGACAAATCAAACAATTGTAAAACAAAATGAAAGAAGCATGCTGCAGAGACTTTAGCAACTCACTAAAACACCAGCTTGGCTCCTGACGGAAAGAAGTTTCCCAGCCTGGGCTGGTGGAAGAGGGTTGCTTTTACCATGAGCACTGTGCAGAGCGGCTACATTGCCCTGTTCTAGGTACCACCCGGCAGGCTGTGTGTGCTGGGGGCAGGCACAGCTATAGATTGTCTTGGAGCCAGGGGGTGAAGGCAGCCAAAGAGGTGAGAGAAGGCAACCTGGGAAAGGTCTTAGGCCAGCACCCCTCCTCAAATCAGAGAGCTCTTAGCAGGGCCTGTAAGACTCATAGCATGATGGGTGAGAGGTAGCTTGCCAGTATCTGGGTAGTAAGGAAGGACAGACTGGCATGTCCAGAGGATACGGCAAAGTCTAGCTAGGACTAGGTGTAATCAGGGACATTTGGGGGCAGTTGCATGAGGGGAGCAGCACCAAGACAGTCTCTCTAGAGCCTGGATCCCTGGCCTCGACAGACAGTCTGAAACACCCTCCAGACCTAGGTGGGGATGACGCAGAGAGCCCAGGCTCACGTCCTCAGTGGTGTGTGGCATGGGGAAGGTAGAGGCCGGATATTGAGCTGACCGCTACACGGTGTGCTGTTGCAGAACCTGGATAGAAAGCCTGTCGCAGTATGCCATGAACAACTGGCTGCGGGCTGCAGAGATCGGGCAGGAGCTAGGGGAAGCCTGGATCGTGCAGAATGCCGTGATCTATGTTTTGAACCACAATCGTCACCTCATCGTGGCTGGGAGGCAGAAGGAGCTGGTGGATTCCCTGTGTCACCTCCTGAACACCCTCAAGGCCACTGGCTACAAAGGGTGGGTGTTGCCACCACATCTGTTTATATTTGGGAGTCACAGCTGTGGGGTCAGGCATGGCCATTGTGGGGGCAATGAGTTGAGAGACTGCGAGGCACGGGTAAGGTCTTTGCATGGAGGAGGTGCTCAGCCTGCACTGGGATGACCTGGTCACCATGACCCAGGGTATTCACAGCTGCCTCACTGCCCCCTGCTGGCTCTGCTCCAACACTGCCCTCTGAAGGCTCTGCTCCAAGCCTTTGCAAAGAGTTCAGCTGAGGGCCCAGGTACTCTGTGAAGTAGCTCAGCGGTCACCCCACCTTGGGCTGGAGGTGGGGAGAGGGTGAGATCTCATGACAGTGTGTTTCTTTTCCAGACGAATGAGAACTTAGATTAATGTTTCCCCAAAATAAACTAGAAGCCTGAATGCATCATCTTAGGTTGGGTTTGAGGCCAGCCTGGTCTACAAAGTGGGTTCCGGGGCAGCCAGGGCAGCATAGTGACAATCTGTCAAGAAGAAAAAAAAAGGGGGAGGGAGGGAGGGAAGAAAAGAGGAAAGGAGGGAGGGATGGATGGAGGGAGGGAGGGAAAGAGGGAGGGAGAAAGGAAGAAAGGGAGGGAAGCAACCCAGCACTCAGCAGCAGTCACCCGTGGTCTGTGTTAAACCACAACTATCCTCTCCTCTTGACAGGGAGGCAGAAGGAGTGGGCGTGGTGCTGTGAGGTTCTGCCTGGGGCTGAGCCTTGTCCTGCTCTTGCTGGCGGCATAGCTCTCATGTTACACCCTCCAGGGATTTAGTCATGCTGGTCTCGCTGTGTGATGCCCTTGCTCGAGGCCTGATCATCAGCTGGATTCCCACCCAGACATCTGAAAAGTCGAAAAAGAATGTGCGCCCTAACTTGGTTCATGTTCCAGCGGAGTTTTCTGCCTCCTCTGAGATCAGAGCAGCTTTGGAGGTACTCCATCCTGCAGCCCAGGAATGGGCCATGGAGTGGGCCCTCGAGTGGGCCCTGGGGTAGGCCCTCGAGTGGGCCCTGGGGTGGGCTCTGGGGAGGGCCTTGGGGTAAGCCCTGGGAAGGACCCTGGGGTGAGCCCTGGGGAGGGCCCTGGGGAGGGCCAAAGGTGAACTTGATGCCTGGGTACAGAGAGCCATGGGGACAGCCAGAGGGAAGATGGCTTAAGGACCCCTCTTAGATTTGCCTCGTGATGAAGACGCTTGTTTTAGGTCTGTGAGTTTGCGCTGCACCTCACTAATGGGAATGTGCCGGATGACATCGTCCCCACCAGCGTGCGGCAGCATCTCATCTCGACCTGGGTGAAGGCCAAGCAGCTACTGCAGCAGCAGATTGGGCAGCGACTGGGCACTGATGAGCAGGTGGTTGCCCAGGACACCCTGGGGGCTTAGGACCCACAGACTGCCTTTCCCCAGCGTTCTCCTTATTCAGCGTGGCCACAGTTGCTGGAAAGGGGGTGTTTCCGCCTAGTAAGGTCTGAGGTTATTCTCTGCTGTCACCAAAATTGCCGCTCTTGAGAGCCAAGGCAAAAAGTCTTCACCAGGTCTGAGTGCTGGGCCTCTGGGGGTGCTGCCTGCTCTCACTGCTACTCAGTCATCGCTTTGATATGGCACCAGCTCACCCCCCAACACTAAACCTGTGGGAGCGGGGTCTGGGAAGGAGCAGGCAATAGTTTGAATTCGCGAACCCTCGCCATGACCCCGACACAGCAGCAAGTAAACCACGGGGAGGAGCGGTCAGGAGGGAGCAGGGGAGAGCTCAGGAGGGACATTTATCCTGGGTCAGACAGAAGCGGTTCGTGGGATATTCCCAGACCAGCAACTTCTTACCAGGGCTCAGCAGCCTTCTCCCTCTGGAAAGGGAGACAGACAACACTGTCTTCAAGGCTCATGAATATGCAGATTTCATGCCTTATTGCCTGAGAAGACAGCGTAGAGGTTGATTCCTACCAGAATAGCCTCAGATATCAACTTTCCGAATACTGTGGTCTGACTGTCCCTTGCGGCTAATGCACCACGGGGTTATCTCAAAAAATGGCTCGGATATCCACAGCTTTTCCTCCCTGTTTCCTGGGCAGCGAGACACTCTATCCCTTCCATCCCTCCAGGGTACCAATGAGGATATCAACTCCATAACCAGAGTCCTTGTTGCCCTTGAGATGTATTCGTGCAATGGACTGGGTCTCATGGACTTCACGGTTCCCCCGCTAGCTCAGGTGGGTTTCCCCGGGTTTCCCAAGAGGTAAGTCAACAACCCCCATCCAGGAAAGACGAGGAAACTGAGGCCTAAGGTCCTGCCTGAGGTAGTCAGAACTCAAACGCACATCTCCCTCTGCTTCCTGACAGCTGCCATCTCTCGAGGCATACATATCTGGCCTTTGTATGGGACAGTCCTTTATACCCATGGGAGGAAGATGCTTCTCTGGGTGGCCTTTCTGTGTCCTTCTTCATCCCACGATCTCAGCCCAGGCAGAGACATATAAGAGGACAGGCATGCCTTCTGTGGTGGGAAAGTCATGAGGACAGAGCAACTGAGATCAGTTAGGCTTCACCGATCGGTAGCCTATCTAGGACTGCATATGCTTAGTAATCCTTGAACGCATGCGTGCGAAGCCGTGTGCAGACATCGCAGGGTGGATGAAGCTCAGCAGGCTGGCAGCAGGGTGGTTGTTGAGGGCCACAGACTCCTAGAGAGTCGCTGTTGCTAATCCAATGTCCTTCTCCCCTCACGTGCTGGGAAGGTGGTGAAAATGGCTTCTGAGTGCAACTGGTCAGAGCCCCTCGTGGAGCTGCAGACCCTGACGCGCCTCACCCACTTCGCCTACGTGGCCCACGACCATGAGATCACCATGGCATGTTCTCACAATGCCACCCAGATGGGCCTCAAGCACCTGAGGTCATTTAATGCGTAAGTGACCTCCGCAATGGCGTCCTAAGGCATGCAGGAACATAAGCAGAGTGTGGACTATGTCCCATGCCACAGAGCAGGGGCCAGAGGTGCAGCCCTGCTGAGCAAGGGACACCTGGCAGGAATCTGATTGCCATGCCGCTTCCTCTGTGTGTGCCACAGGACAGCACAGAAAACAGGGCCCGCGAAGCTGTGTGGGGTGTTAATGGGGACTCAAAAGACACATAGGCCTCAGTTAGGAGGTCTGTGCAATAGCTCTCTGTGTGTGACAGATAGATAAGAGCTTATGGTTCTCTTAGATAAGGCTTCTGTGTTAAAGTACCACAGCTGGGGAGGCCTTAAGAAATGGGGATTTATTGTTCATGGCATAGAAGCTGGATGTTCAAGTTCAGGGCATGATAGTTGGTATCTAGTGACTGTTGCTGCCTAGTCCAAAGTTGGCCACTTCATGTGGTGAAGAGGGAAAAAGCACTGTTATTCTCCGTTATGGGGCAGGACTCCATCCCGAGGCGCCAACCCCGCACTCTACCACCTTCATCTCCCATCAGCCCTTCTACTAATGCCGTCCCCCGGGAAATCAGATATCAGCATGTGACTTTAGGGAACACATGTGGTTCTCAGATCAACCACGGTTCCATCCTGATGCAGGCAGCTTTGTCCGAGGGATTTTGGGAGAAGCAAGATGCATGATGCTGAAGTGTATCAATGCCACTGGACAATGCCTCTGGTTTGTTAAATGGGAGACAGCTTCTCTGTCAGGTCTCCATGGTAACTGCTGGAGAATGCCAGTCACCAGGTGTATTCGTTGCTTTTCTCACTGCTGTGAACTGATGAGAAGCAATGCAAGGGAGGCAAGGTTTGCCTTGGCTCATGGTTCCAAGGTCCAGTTCATTATGGAGGAAGGCATGGCGGCAGGATGCTGGAAGGCATGGTGGCAGGATGCTGGAAGGCAGCCGAAGCTTGCAGCTGGGATCCCGCACCACATGTTTTGTTTGGCAGAAGAGGAAACCGGGAGCAGATAGGGAGTAAGGCCAGGCCACACAAACCTCATGACCTGTCTTCAATGACTGGCTTCCTTTAGCGTGGAAGTGCCACCCCTTATAGGTCCCACAACCTCCCACAACAGTGCCTCCAGCTAGGAACCAATGTTCACACACATGAGCCGGTGAGGGACTTCTCATTCTACCTACAGCAGCCGTGAAGCACTGGAACACGTCTGTCTTCCTTCATGGTTTCGACAATGTTCCACGGTGTTGATCCATAATCAGAAATATCAGTCTTTCCTTCTCCCTGAATCTGGGGCTGTTGTAAAAGGCAGTGTTGTGACAAATGCCCATGTAGCCAAGATGGTTTTCTTCCAGGCTCTTCTTTTTGGCTTCTTTCCCACGTCCAAGTATCCTGAAAGATAGAGTTGTGGCCCAGGACTATAAAGGTGCTTCCTTTGCCCAGTGGCCAGTTTGGTCAACAGTCACTAAATCCACAGAGTTCTTCCCCATGCCCATGTTTCTGGTCTTGCACCATGTCTACCAGCCTTGCTTTCTGAGCCGCTGATGTGCTCCTGGTGTGTTGGCAGGATTTAGTGGGCATGTAACATGTGCCTCTTAGTTGGTTGGACCCCTATGAGGACAAGGCCAAGCACATGTCTTGCTCACAGTGACAGCTCCAAGGCTATGTTCATACAACTGCCGAGAGTCTGAGAGTCAGCAGAGCCCCATGCCCTGCAATGTCTGTAACAGAAGCATCCACTTGTCTAGACCCCCTGGACACACAGGGGCAAGGACATAGCACTGGTACCGAGGAGTAGGGTGCTGTTCCTTTGACCAACCTGCTCACGTGGTTCATAGGCCTTTAGAACTGGTTTGTAGAAGGAATGTGGAAGAGTTCGTAGGACGGAGAATTCCTAGACACCCTATAAGCAAAACTCAGTGGACCATTTTGATCAGAGTGTAGAAGGATAGAATGCTAGAGGAATCGGCAGGGGAGCCCCAGCTCGTGAGGTTTTCAAGAGGAAGAAGAGCTTTGTTGGGGACTGGGTCACACTCCTGTCCTATTCCAACAGAAAAACTGGCTGCTTTCTCCCCGTGTCCTGATTATTTTAGTAAGGCTGAATTCAAAAGTAATGGAAAATCCATGATAGCACAATGACCAGGCTGTGACATGGTTGCTGGTCACTGTTCTTAGTCAGATCTACAGTGGTAAGGAGCAACAAGGTAAGAAAAGTGTGCAGTCTTGTGAGGAAAGGAGAGGTGCAGGTTCCAAACTTGTGCCTGAGCAAAGCAGATGTGGTCTTAATGCCATTGGAGAGGAACCTAAAGTTCTGCCCTGAGAGCACAGGAAAGGTGCCTCTGGAAAGGCAAAGTCATTTGAAAGAAAGAAAAAAAGAAAAATGACACACAAAGTGTTTTCTGCTCTCAAGTAGCTGTCTAGGGACGTCTTTTCCCAGATCGAGCCAGGGTACAGAGACCACCACAGCTCTGGGAGAAGGGGACCTAACTACATCTCAGGCTAACATCAGAACTTGGCAATGTCCACATGATGCTGGTTTTGTAAGCAGGCAAAATTCAAGAGTGAGAGATTAACAGAGGCTTATACCCAAGTTCTGAGAAGTTGTTAGGGCCAGACAATATGTGGCAGAGTCTAGTTTCCAGAAGGGAGATGCTGAGAAGCCACCCTATGAAACGTGAAGGTGTTACTTAAGTTGCAGTAGGGAACCCAGGATGTTGGAGATGCCGGGACCACAGGAGCCAACAAAGGAACACTGTGGTCGTGAGCGGAGCTATCCTGAGAGAGAGGCTACCTGTATCGCAGGTTATAGAATTGGAGGTGTGGGCTCCTTGGTGCTGCTGAACCCATAGGATTCCATTATATAGTGGTAATTCCAGATGCTGAGCGGGAGCTGCAGGGTTCGGTTCCAACCCTGCTGAGTCTGTCTTTCTTTGGCTTTGTGTTTCTTTGGGAATGTTTGTTCTGTATCACTGTATATTAGAAGTTTGTAACTTTTAGATTGTATTTTATAGGTACTCATAAGTGAGAGATGGCCAGAGTCTCAGAAGAGACTGAACAGGTTAAAACTCTGAGGGCTTTGGAAGTTAGAATTGCTTCATTTTCCATTATGAGAGGGCCGAGAGACTGGGGGACCAGTGATGTGCAAACACAGGGGGAATCGGAGACAGCTTTATTCTGAGCCACAGGGAGCAGGCCTTCAGATGAGATTGCTCTGAACGAAATGTTCCTCCTTGAGAGCAGTTGCACCTTGTTGGGCACAGAACAAAAAGAAATCCTAAATCAATGCATTTACTCAACACACTGGTGGGGACGGCAAAAAGGCAGATTACAGAAAAGCAGGGAACTCTGCTATCTGAAGACATTCTTCCTTTTTTGGGTTGGTGGAATCCAGTGTCTTTATATTAATACATTTCAAAAGTTTGCCAGTAGTTAGGAGCATGTTAAGTCAAATACCAAGATGACACATGAATGGCTGTTAGGCAGACTAGCCCAAGGTAGTCTTGACTTTGGATCTGCAGCATTCCAGCTCTAACTGACTGGTCAGTCCTATAGAATCTTTACCACATTTTCCCCTAAAACTTCAGTTCACAGAGAGGATGTTATGGCTTAAAGTGATGTGTTTGGGTGTCAAGTTGACAACAGGTCAAGGTGTAGTGGTTAATTTACTTCAATTGCCACTTGATCGTATTAAGACGCACATAGGACGTTAATGAGGCAGACCTCTGGGACTGTCCTTGAGGGTGTTCCCACAGAGGTTTAACAGGAGAGATGGACTCACCTTGAATGCTGGTGACACCATCTCAGGGGCTGGGGACAGAGACGGAATTACAAAGCGGGACAGGAGGAAGCCAGTGGAGACCAGAACTCACCTCTCTCTGCTTTCTAATTGTGGGTCCGATCCATGTGGCCAACGGCCTCCTGCTCCTGCCTTCCTGCCGTCACTCCGGTTACACGCACTAGCCATGAACTCTGAGGCATCCTTTGCCGTATCACATTAAAGGAAGAAAGAAAAACTCCTCCCCTCTGAGTCATTTAACCAAGAGTGAGTCCTGATTGAGTTCTCTGCTTCATGCTCCCTGTGTCTTCTGTCCTCTGTCTGTCTGGTGCATGAGTCTGAATCTGTGCCTGCCTGAAGACTGTGTCTGCCCCCACACACACCCCTAGCATCCATTTGTTCTGTCTGTGTGTGTGTCTAACAAAGCGCTTCCGTCAGTCTTTATTGGACCTACTGGGGAAGGAATAGGATGCTTTATAGCGATTGCTAACAGAGTTTTACGAGGGATCAGGTCTCTGGTTCCAACTGGCCCAGACAACAGACATCAATCAGTGTTTATCAACCAATATCCACAAATGGTGGCTTCCAACCGTTATCATAGATTTTAGGGAGTGGCATTCAACCTCTGTAGTTGCTACTTTCAGCAAATGATACACACGCATTGTCTGGGGCAGGGACATGGACAAGTCCATAACTTAAGATCATAGCTATGCATTAGCTCAGGTTGGAGAAGTTGATGCTATGAAAACCCAAGGCAAATAAGGTTGATTGTTACATTGTTTCTTAAAGACAGGTTCAACAAAAGGTTTGAGTACACAGCAGTCTTAAATCTTGAATGACCACACAGTGGTTAAGGCTGTGAGGTCCAGCAAAAGTTCTGGTCTCTTAGAGTGTGGAACAGATATGTTCCCAAGATAGTATGGCCACAAGTCATGACGGACTATATTCCCTCAACTGTGAACCCAAACAAGCCCCCCCCAAAAAAATAGTTCTTCAGGAATTTGGTGACGGCCATGAGAAAAGCAGCTAATACAAAGTCTTTCAGTGCCCTTGCCTTAGCGGGCAAGGCCTTTACCACTGAACCATCTCACCCACACTAATCTCGCTCTTCCTTAGACCTCACAGTGAGCTGGAAGGGGAAGTGGGTGAGCAGAGTAGCTGAAGTCCACTCACCACAGGCTCTTCAGGGAAGATTGACAGGGCCACAAGGGTGGGGGCCAGGAACACGAGGTGACTACAGATTAGAAGTCACACCCTGTGGGGTCAGGCGAGGCCTGGCAGAGGTGGTCCTATTCAACCCTGTGCAAGATCCACTTCCATTACTCCAACATTGTCCTTAGAAGACATCAACCAATTGCGCATCCCTCCAAAAAGGGTTGCTGTTAGTGCCTCCGTACACAGCCACCAACTCCTTGGGCACCGGAAGAGAACTGGGCACAGCACCAGGCCAGGCTAGCACACTCTTCCATCAGTGATCCTAGCTACTCTAATTTATAAAGGAAATCCATGTAATAAATAAAGCAAAGATATTCACGCTTACATACAGCGACAGGAAACCTGGAGATTGCACTAAGCCCTCTGAAGGTCTTTTGTAGACCACTGTTGTCCCCTCCTGGTGACTGCTGTCATTGCACCCTGCTGGCTGCAAGGGTCAAAATTCCCAACTGCCACTCCCCAGGCTAGGGTCACAGCCTTCTTTGCACCAGCCTACCACCTATGAAGGGGCGTAATTACTACCCAGCCTCCATTTACCTTCAGACCACAAATGCCCACCGTACAACAGGTCCTTGCAGGCTTAGGGTCAGACACACCTTCCCCATTGCCTCCTGGGAACATATTTGGCTGTTTGCTTCAGCAAGCATGTGCCTCTTGTAGAGCACCAGAACCCAAAGGAAATGTTGCCTGAACATGTATATTGCTCACAGAATAAAATCTGTGCTGCTGAGCTGAGCAGCCGAAACATGCCCTCCACCTTTCACCCCACCCCACCCCACCCCACCCCACACCTACTCTGCAGGTGCCCAGACCACTGCTGCGCCTGGTTTGGGAGCCAGGAAAGTGTCTGTGGGGCTGCGGTGCTGCTCTGATATGGCACTGCAGGCCTATGTGCCCCTCTGAGCAAAGAGTGCAGAGCGAGACAAGACTTTCTGTCCAAGGAGCAGAGCCTAGCTGAGGACAGAACCCAACAGATGGTTCTACCTGGCTCATTGATAGATGGGAAATCCACTCCAAAGAAATGACTAACAGCCAGTTAAGGAGTCTGTCCCATGGTTCTGTGGTTCACTGGACTCTGCAAATTCGTTCTGGTTTGAGATCTCTCGTAAAGGTCTCTCAGTCAGGCACCCACAGAGCTGATTCTCATGCCCCCCAAAGTTCTCTGTGGGTGGGCATCTCCAAGAACTGCCACTGGCCTTGATGTGTAGTATCTCTGTAAATGCAAGCACCGAGAGACCATCTCCTCACTGAATGCCCAGGACACCCAGGCCAAACGTGGGCATCTCAGTCACTGGCAAGGAAGGCCCCGAAAGGCAGAACCACTTGTCTCACATCATCTATCAGTTGGGCACGTCGCTATGGCACAGGGTGGGTTGGAAACACATCTCCATCTTTGAATGCACTTGCAGGGCCATGGATGAAAGGAGAGCATTTGCAGCAAGTGGAGGCCAGCATGCATCACCCCCCACCTCTCCTCTAAATCACTCTGTGCCCTCTCCAGGACCGATGCCAAGCTGGCCGCAGAGATGTTGTGTACTGTGTCCTGCATCTGGGGCCGCAGCATCATGGAAAACTTGAAGGGTAGGAAGCAGCTACGCCTAGCAGCCGCCAAGACGTTCGTAGAGAGTGCCAAGTATGCAGCTGGGGATGGGCTGGCGATGTGTGGGGGAGGGGAACTGGTGTAGTGCCACAGTGATGCTGTGGGGACATTCCTGAGTCCCAGGGAGGGAACTGGGTGGTACCAGCAAGCCTTCAGCTACATCCTGTTGTGTAGCCGAGCTCACAGACACCAGGACATCCGTGGGCAGTACTGGGAGAAACTCAATAGAGCTGTGAGCTGGGTGGGTACCAAGGCTGTCTGGAGGGTCCCTAAGCATATAGGGGCTTTAGTGGCAAGGGGCAGGTAGACACAGCAAGGACCAGACCAGAAGAGCCCATCACTGTCCTCTATTGTGGGCAGTACCTGACCCATACAATTTGCTAAGGCAGAGATATGGCAGGCTTGCCTTTTCATGGTGCCTGCCGTACAGTGCCAAAGCTGTATTATGCCGATCCCACTCCTTCCCTACACAGTTCAGAAGCTTCAGGATTGGATGTAACAGGGCAAAGGTGTGGCTGAGCGAGCCACCTACGTAACTTGGAATGAGGCATGTCATTTCAGGTATGGGGGCCTGGCAGGCAACAGTTCCCTGGTGATGATGGCCGCCCGGCACTACTGGAACACATGGCTCCCACTTCTGTCCTCACCGGGCAACAGGAAGAAGGCCAAAGGATCCCTCCGGCGAATCATCAGCATCATCAACAAGACAGAGAGCAAGAAGCAGGTGCCATGGGGACACGGGCTAGGGTCCTAGGAGGCCTTACCCTCAGGCCTGGCCAGACTCATAGGAAAAGACAACCTCGGCTTGCCTCCCACAGAGGATGCCTGCCTTGGGGCTTGACTGGGGACATGGCCCCTGTGGGACACGACTTTCACCAGACACAACTCCCATAGGCTACGACCCCAACCAGACACGGCCCACATTGGGCATGACCTCTACCAGACAGCTACTTCAGAACGTCTCCTGGGAATAGCAGCATTCTCCAGGTCCCAGAGAGGTCAGAGGTTCCTGGCCAACCTCAGTGGTGGCCTCTGACCTCCGGTCCCCAGATCCAGAATTCTCTCCCATCCCCTCTTTGTTTTAACAACTTTGAAACAGCAGACTTCCCCTATTCTCAGTTTGGTTTATTCTTCCCTCTCTGGTTCATAATTTTCTGTTATCTGGAGAATTAAAGGCAGGTTATTGATTTGAGATCTTTGCATCCACGGGAGTATTCACAGCTGTTGGCTTGCCTTGGAGCATGGCTTCCACTATGTCCCATAAGTTTTTCTTTTCTTTTCTTTTTTCTTTTTAAACAGGGTTTCTCTGTAGCTTTTTGGAGTCTGTCCTGGAACTAGCTCTTGCAGACCAGGCTGACCTCGAACTCACAGAGATCCGCCTGCCTCTGCCTACCGAGCGCTGGGATTAAAGGCATGCGCCACCACGGCCCCTATTTCACATGGTTGAAAACAACTAGATCAGAGAGGAAGTAGTCTGTGTGCTGTATATGTGTATATTACATGTAATGTAGGGGATGTGTGATATGTGTGTGTGTTGTGCTGTGATGTTGTATGTGGATAATACATGTTGTATGGTAGGTGGTGTGTATTGTATGAAGTGTGGGTGGTATGCCAGAGTGTGTGTATGGCATAGTGGTTGATGTATTTATATAGTATGGTACGTGTTGGGTATAACATATACATATGTTCATATATGTGTGTGTGGTGTGTTGGTTACAGTTTGGTATGTGTGGTGTGGTACATGTGTGATATCATATGTGTATGGTTATGTAGTATTGTACTATGGTGTGTATGGAATGTGTGTAGTATGGTGTATGAACAATGTGGTGTCTTGTGTACAGTTTGAGAGTGTGTGGCATTATGTATGTTTGGAACGGAAGGTTTGGTGTGTATAGGATGTGCATGGTATGGTCTATGTGTAGTGTGGTGTGTATAATATGGCACACAGTATGTTATGTATGTGCTCTATTGTGTGCATGTGACATGAATGATGAATGTGCTTAACATTTTGTGACTTGATAGTTGTGAGATGTTGCTGCAATTTCTGCCTTTTGCTTGTTTTTACTGAAACTAATGAGGAACAAGACGGAGGGACACATCAGTCCCCTCCAACATGTGCCATTTGTTTATTTCACTTAAGGACACAGAGAAAACACTGTTTCTGCACCAGTGGCCAACAGCTGACTTCCAGGGTGGAGGCACAGGACCCGAAGGCCCATTCCTTCCAGGTTGGTAGCTGTGGCGCCAGTGAGAAACGGGGAGTTCTGGAAGTTTGAGCATTCTGTGCTTTACATCCGTATCCTTACATGAGGCACAAGTCATGGCTATGCCCAAGAGTCTATCTGCTTCTCACCTGATGTTTTCCCTTAATATCCCATGGAAGCCTATTCTGGAGAGAGAACGCCCAGGGTCCTCCATCCTACTAACATGGAGAGCCTTCACAGGCTAGCCCTTGACTCTGTTGATACACGAGTCTCCTCCTCCTCTTTGTCTTTTTGGCTTTTCAAGACACGGTTTCTCTGTGTAGTCCTGGAACTCACTCTGTAGGACCAGGCTGGCCTCAAACTCACAGAGACTTGCCCACTTCTGCCTTCCAAGTGCTGGGATTAAAGGTGTGTGCCACTAATGCCCAGCTGTATATCATCTTAGTGCTAGGATTAAAGGTGTGTGCCACTAATGCCCAGCTTTATATCGTCTTAGTCATATTTTCTGCCATAAAACACTTGGAGATGCAGTCTTTGGCAAAATAAGGAAAGAAAAACACTGACCACAGACCAGAAGAACTACATTCGGTACTGTTTCAACTTTTTGAAAAGAATTTTTCATGATACGATTCTCTGTCACTGAGCAGTGGTGGCACATGCCTTTAATTCCAGCACTTAGGAGGCAGAGGCAGGTGGATCTCTGGATTTGAGGCCAGCCTGGTCTACAGAGTGAGTTCCAGGAGAGTCAGGGCTACACAGAAAAACCCTGCCTCAAAACAAACAAAACAAAACAAAAAATCAAGAGCCCTATGTGTATTTGGCAATTCTTCAGCACTGTGAGATAGAATAGTGGACCCTACCTTGAACATGTTAGAGTCTTTTCACAGGTAAAATTTATTTAAAATTAGCAAAAGTATTGCCTTGTGTAAAGCATAGGGCACGGAACCCCCAGAGTTTAGAATGTTGACAAACATTTCAAGAAAAACAATACAGATAGCATAGTCTGAGAGGAGGACTGCCCCAGACTCCAGGGGGATGCGGAAACTGGTGAGGCCCTTTGTTCATATGGAGCCAGACAGAAGCTGGAGGTCAAACTGCCATCACCTAGGAAACGGTCATTAAGTCAGAATTTCGTGTCTTTAAAAATTTCCATTCTGATGCAGGAGGGGTAGCTCTACTGTCAAGAACACTTGGTGTTTAAGAGGACCTGGGTTTGATCTCCAGCACTCACACAGTGGTTCACAACCATCTGTAACTCCAGGGCATCTGATGGGAATCCGTGGGCACAGTCATACATGTGGTACACAGACACACATGCAAGCAAAAAACTCATACACACAAAACAAAACACTACCAACAACAACAAAAGCAACAACAAAAAAAAACCCCTCCCATTCCGGACCAGGTGTGTTATCACACACCTTAAATCCCAACACTTGGGAGGTAGAAGCAGGCAAATTGCTGTGAGTTAGAGGCCTGCCTGGTCTTTATAGTGAGTTCTAGGCCAGCCAGAATTACAGCGAAACTCTCAAACAAACGCACAACAACAAAACCACCTTCTACTCCAGAGGAAAGTAGCATCGGGCAAGCAGAAATTCTATAGAAAGAGGCATACTTTCAAACAGATCAAAAAAAATTTACAATGATAAGAAAGACAGAAAATTAAGGAATAACAATGTGAGAAATCCTCATATCCAGTGTGACAGTGTGGGAAATCCTCATATCCAGTGTGACAGTGTGGGAAATCCTCATATTCAATGTGGCAGCTGTGGGAAGTCAAAGACCCATCAGCTGCTAGTGTTAGCCTGATGAGAACGGAGCTCTGGCTCAGGGCTCAGCTCTCCCAAGCCTCTCTCCCTTTCCGCAGCCTGTACTCTGAGGCTCAGAACTGAGCCTCCATGTAAGGACAGCATTGCACTGTCCCTGCTGCTGGGTGGCTGGGAGATCTGACAAGCTGGGTCTCTGACCTAAGTCTTTTACACACTCATTGGTGAAGCACCAGGTGGACAGGGATATGTCCGTGGTATGCTTCAATACACCAAACAAGGAACCAAGAACGAAACGTGGAGTCTGAGCTATGCAGGATAAAGAATGAGCATCATGTAAGTGTCCCTCCCGTTCCGATGCAGCTGGCAGGTTCAGAGAACAAGCTCAAATAATAAAGAAACTGTGAGGTCCCCAACTATCCGAGGTTAGCCACTTTTCCCAGCCCACCTTGGGTTTGGGGAAAGCTAGCAGAGCCACCAACCTGAGCTGTGCCTCACGGTGCCATCTCTCAGCCAGCGTGTGGCAAGAGCATGGGTGTGTTCAATCCTTTACCCAGCACCCCTATGCGAGAACACTCAGCATGAGAACCCAGAGGAAAAGAAGCACCCTGCTGACCACTGCCACCCACACCCACCTTCATGTTCAGTGCCGGGATTGACCCTGGGGACATGTGACAAATTTGGTGGCAAGGCCTGCAAGGCCTTCCACTTTCCCTGAATGTTACTGGGAACATGTAATATACAGAGGCAAGAACAGACTTCCATTTCCTCATGGCCATGCTGTTTACTTGAGATGAAAAGTAACAGACTTTCTGAGAAGAGAAGAGAGAGGTCATGGGACACCCTGGCCCTCGGACCATGTGCTGGGCAACCAAGAGACCCCATGAGAGTTAGAGGGAGTTCCTCAAGGCCAATAGACAGAGATAAGTAGAGACCAGAGTGGGCACTTAGAGCTGGTTCCTTCAGATGGAGGAGCACCTGAGCCATGGGGTGGGGGTGCTGTAGGCAGGGGCCACATTGATCTACCACTGGCACTATAGGACAGCTTCCAGCCTTCTGATACACAGCTGCATATGAATGGAAGACTGTGACATGGCTTGTGAGGGAATAGGGGTGGGGGGTAAGAGGTCAGAGGGCATCAAGTCAGTTGGCAAGGAGCTGGCTGCCCAGTCCCCTTGAGACTCCATCTCTTCTCCCCTTTCCCCAGGGTCTGAGGATGACCTCACCCTCCGTGCAGTACTCTATAGCCTGCTCTTCCATAGCCACGCTGACCAGAATGACTGGGAGATGGGCCTTAAAGTGCTGGATGAGGCCGTGCAAGTGCTGCCGAGGACAGCCCACCGCCTGTGAGTGCTCTTACCCTGGCCCCCTCGGGATGCTCTCTGCACTCCTCAGCAGGGCTTCCCTGTGCTCCCTTTCCACTAAAGGACCTCACCTCCCCCAGGAAGAACCTCAGCTAGGTCCCTGTCTGGTTCCATCCCTGCCCGCAGGAACACGGGCAGCAGTAATTCTGCATGTCATATGTCACATGCATGCAGTAGTTCTGTATGTCGTGTGTCACGTGCATGCAGTAGTTTTGTGTGTCATATGTCACATGCACGCAGTAGTTCTGTATGTCATATGCCACGTGTAAACAGTAGTTCTGTATGTCATATGTCACATGCATGCAGTAGTTCTGTATGTCGTGTGTCACGTACATGCAGTAGTTTTGTGTGTCATATGTCACATGCACACAGTAGTTCTGTATGTCGTGTGTCACATGTGTGCAGTTCTGTGTGTCATGTGTCACATGCATGCAGTAGTTCTGTGTGTCATATGTCACATGTATGCAGTAGTTCTGTATGTCATATGCCACGTGTAAACAGTAGTTCTGTATGTCATATGTCACATGCATGCAGTAGTTCTGTGTCACATGTCACATTGTGCAGTAGCTCCGTGTGTCATCTATCACATGTATATAGTAGTTCTGTATGTCATATGCCATGTGTGTACAGTAGTTCTGTGTGTCATATGTCACGTGCATGCAGTAGTTCTGTGTGTCATATGTTACATGTATGCAGTAGTTCTGTGTGTCATGTGTCACATGTATTCAGTAGTTCTGTGTGTCATATGCCACGTGTAAACAGTAGTTCTGTGTGTCATATGCCACGTGCATGCAGTAGTTCTGTGTGTCATGTGTCGCGTGTATGCAGTAGTTCTGTGTCCTGTGTCACGTGTATGCAGTAGTTCTGTGTGTCATGTGTCACGTGTATGCAGTAGTTCTGTATATCATATGTCACATGTATGCAGTAGTTCTGTGTGTGTCACATGTATGCAGTAGTTCTGTGTGGCATATGTTACGTGTATACAGTAGTTCTGTGTATCATATGTCACATGTGTGCTTAGCACTTTGTCATCTCAGTTGACCCGTCCTTTCCTATTCTTCAGCTTGATTTTCAAACATATGGTAATTGTGAAGGCCAAACTTGGCCAGAACTATAGCATGGAAATTCAGAAGTTCAAGGACGAGAGCGAAGACTACTTGGCACACATGTGGTACCAACTGGCTCAGAACTCGAGGAACATCTGTGGAGAGCTCACCTGTTATCAAAATGCTATCCAGGCACTGCAGGTCTGTGTGGTGTCCACTTGGTGATGGTGGGCGGATTTGTTTCCTGATTGCAGCAAGAAACCATAGGAAAGCTTCAGACTTAGGGACTTCCTGGGTCAGCTCAGAGGAAGCCACTGTGTAGCAAGCAAGCCCTGGCTAAGGCGGGAGACTCCCTTCTGCTGATCGGCCCCTTTGTCACCCCTCTTGGAAAGGAGAGAGTGGAAAGAGCCCTGAGGTAAATGCCTGGGCTCCCTGAAGCCTGGGACTGCTGAGCAAACAGGGCTCTGCATGCAGCTGGCTGGGACAGGCAGGTCTTGCTGTCCCCATTCTGAGCACCTGAGTGGCAGGGTGCTCTGACTTCTGACTTGATGACAATGGTCCACATGGGGCTCCCTGGAGTCCTGAGTGTGGGACCAATGGCGTCCCGGACCTCTGAATTGAAAGGCTTGGACAGTGAGGAAGCATCTTGAAAGGCTGGTCTATTCCGTAGGCCCTTAGCATATCCCTGAGGTCCTGGGTGCTGCAAGGACCAGGCAGCTCTCAGCCAGGGAACTATGTCCATCTCAGGGCACAGACTGGTGGCTTCAGAGACCTGACACTCATGCACGTGGTTGAAGGGAGCCCTGCATTTTGCTCTTGGTCATCCTGCTGGGTCTCAGGGTCAGGCAGTATGTGGGCATCTCAGTGAGGAAGCTGGAAGGGCAACTCCCTGAGAAGGCGGAGTCACCAGGCTATAGGAAGGGCAGAGAGCTCACACATTCAGCTGGACACTGCAGGTTTATCTGTCTTCAGTGACCCTGAGTCTTATCTCTGACACTTGCTTTTATTTACTTATTATTTAAATGTACTTGTGTGCAAAATACATGTGTGGTATGTATATATGTGTGTGTGTGTGTTCACGTGTGCAAGCATGAACATGCACGTGCCATGGCAGCCTGTGGAAGTCAGAGGACAGCCTCATGGGTCAGGCCTCACCTGGTACCTTGTTTGAGGCAGGATCTGTTCCCCACTGTGTATACCCGGGTAGCTGACCCACAGGTTTCTGGGCCTTCTCCTGTCTTGGCCTCCCATCTTGCTGTTGGCTGGCTGGTATTATAGGTGCCACTGCCACATCCAGAGTTTACGTGGGTCCTGGGAACTCAAACTCTGGTCATCAAATTTTGTACAAGAAGCACTTTATCCACTGAGCCATCTCTCCGGCCTCTTTTTTTTTTTAATATTTATTTATTTATTATGTATACAATATTCTGTCTGTATGCCCGAAGGCCAGAAGAGGGCGCCAGACCTCTCTACAGATGGTTGTGAGCCACCATGTGGTTGCTGGGAATTGAACTCAGGACCTATGGAAGAGCAGGCAATGCTCTTAACCACTGAACCATCTCTCCAGCCCCTCTCCAGCCTCTTGAGTTTTCTTTCTTTCTTTCTTTCTTTCTTTCTTTCTTTCTTTCTTTCTTCCTTCCTTCCTTCCTTCATTTGTTTCTTTCTTTGTTTCTTCCTTCCTTCCTTTTCTTTTTTTCCATCCCTCAGTCTTTTCCTCCCTCCCTCCATCCCTCCTTCCATTCCTTTCTTTGGCACAATACAGTCTCTAGCTTGTTCTCAATGCTTTTACCACAATCTGTTTTAGAACATTTATTTCATCACCCTGCCCACCCCCCAAATCATGTCTATTATCTGTCACTCTCCTCCCCAACCCTCCTGCAGTCAGGGATCACTGACCCATTGTGCCGTCTGGACCTTTCACAGAATGAAATCAGGCCTACCACGTGGCTGCCATAACTAGTTTCTTTCACTAAACACGGTCTCGTTCTGTTAGAGTCACAGGTATTGTGTGACTGTCCTGAATTCTTTCCTGTGACTAAGCAATACTCCATAGACACCCACGCACTTGGCTCCTTGGTTGTTTGCCAGACCCTTGCATTGTTTCTGAAATCGCTTGGCTCTTGTGAGCAGGGCTTTCGTGAACCTGCATGCACAGTTTTTTGTGAACCTGTGTTCTTGGTTCCCTTGAGAATGTTCCTAGGAGTGGAACTGATGAATCACCCGTGACTCTGTGCTTAGCCAAAGAAGAGCCGCCAGGTTGTGCCCTCGTGGACTGTCCCTGCTCTTAGTATTGTTCATAGCACGACATTTCTAACTGTGATGAGGTCGATGTCTATTTCATCCTCTGTTGCTCATATTTACGATATTATATCGGAAAGATCATTTTGATCCAAGGTCAGGAAGATACATTCTTTGTTTCCTTCTGAGAATTCGGTGACTGCAGACCTTCTGTCCTGGTGGCTTGTCCATTCTGAGTTGGATTGTATACAAGAGGCCGGTCCAGCCTTGTTCTCTAGCTGAAGACCCTCCACTCAGCCTTATACCTTTGGATTAGAGGAGCATCCTTTCCCTCCTTAGCCCCTCTCTTGAGGCACCCACGCTTGCCCACGCTTGCCCATGCTTGCCCACGCTTGCCCACGCTTGTCCATGCTTGCCCAGCTTCTTTCCAAGCCACAACTTCCATGGCACAACCTGAACTCTCTCTCACCTCCATAAGATGTCTCCTCACACCTCCATTGGGATTCAGGTTCCACTGGGCTACTTTAGGCCCTGACACCTGCCTGGGATTCACATCCTACCTGTCCCCCCAATACCCTGTGACACTTTTTCCTTTCAGAAGCTTTGTTCCTCCTTCCTCATGAGACAGCATCCGTGTCCAGATTGCTATGCCCCACCTGAGGCTACCACCTGACCTGCAGCACTTGTTTATATTTGATTTTCTTGCTTTGAACCCCACGCAGGGGTGGGCACGGGCTAGCCTCTCATGGGTACTCATTTGACAGGGAATGAGAAAGCACAGGCAAACACTCAGGAAAACTACAGAGTCAGCAATAGAGGCAAAAGGGCCGTGACTCTAGGTCCTGAAAAGTGCGGAGGTGATGCCTTGAGGCTGGGCCGAGGAAGAGGCCTGGAAAGAAAGGGAGTATGGAGTAAGTCTACACACTAAAGCTCCGGGCTGTGCATGGGTCTCTGAGCTTTGAGGCTGGCCTGCAGCTTTCAGCAACCATAGGCCAAGTGCGTGCCATGCTACCTCTCTGGCTGTGGTTTCCCTGACATCCCCTTCCACAGGCCCACAACTATATCTAGAAGTATTCTCCACAGAAACACCTGTCTTCTTCACGCAACGAGTCATGGAAGCTGCTGATAGTTGAAGCAAAAAGCTGAACATGCATGGGGAACAAAGCATGGGGCCCTCAAGAGAGGACCTAACCCCAGAACCACCCATTCAAGGTTTCAGATTAGCCTGACTGCCTTGCAGGGAGCCCTGATCAACATCTTCTGTGTTGTAATGGAGATTTGGAGAATTGTTAGGAAATATAGGGGCCAGTGGGACAGATAGGCCTGGGGGATTTTACCAGGTTTTTTTTTTTTTCCTACCATACTTCTGTCCACAGCTGGAGTCCTCAGGGAACTTTGGTGGGAAGACCCATCTTCCTGGAAGGGGCCTCCACAGTGACTCCATGGTGACTCTAGGATGGCATGAACCATCAGGTCTTTTGCTGCTCTGTGTGACTTCCTGATGCTAATTAATGGCACATTTGACCTGATTAGTACCATATGCTTTTCTGTCTTGTCCCAAAGAAGCCAGAGAGCAACTGGCAGAAGGTAGATTACATCGTGGAGTTCAGTGAGTGGCTGTATTACAAGCAGTTCCCTATGAAAGATGTGATTGCCCACCTCGAGTGGGCCATTGAGATTCTGCTGTCCATGAAACCCATTGAAGCCTCCCCTGAGCCGGAGCCCAAGACAGAAGGTGAGAGGGATCACGTTGGCTTCTCCTGATCCACATACTGTAGGCCCTATCTGGTCCCAGGACAGCCGGACTTAGTGGGACAGTTGCTGGGCCACCAGTGTCCTCTGGTCTTATACAGGGTTGCCATCAGTTTTGGCTCACAGCAGTTAGGAGTGGGGGAAAGAGACAGAATGGGAAAGTTCCAGAACTTGTGTGAAGAAATAGCTGTAACCCCATCCAGCTGAATACAGCAGTTGAAACACACTAACAAAGCAGAGCAGGCCAACCTATGGCCTATTCTGACAGGACACCAGCTAGGCACCTGCACGGGTAGCAACCCCAAGGCCAGCAGCCCTTTGCTTCCCAGAAAGTGAGTCTCTTCGACTCCTGGACTCAGAGAGACAAGTCTGGGACACAGGAAAGGCAGAGTAGAAGGTAACCCTGCTGGAGAAACTCCAGTCGGAGGCAGGCAGCAGCAGCACACCTCCAGGCACCTGATGACGGACAGGTGGCTGGATCAGCATCACAGATCAGGAGAGGAGAAATCTGGAGCCTGCAGGAGCCTAAGCCTGTTCACGGCCCCAGACTCACTCCCACCATGCCCTGCAGGGCAGGCCTCCCTTACCCTGTCTGCCACAGGGAGTGCAGTGTCCTCGAATCTGGAGACAGTCTCCTTGGACCAGTTTCGAAGTGTGAGGCAGTTGGAGGCCCTAGCTCGTGTGCACATCCTCCGGGCCTTGATAGTGTCCCCAAGCTCCTCTTCCTATGAAGACGACTGCTTCATGGCCTACAGTTTCCTCAGGCGCATCTGGCAGGTGAGGCAGGCTAGAGATGAGATGCCAGACAGTGTGGGTCCCCAAGCCCATCTCCCTGCCCCTGGGAGGAGACTCTGAAGGGCTCGTCGCTGCTGTTTTCTTTGTTTAAATCATCATAGCTTTTTCAAAGAAATCAGAGCCTTCCCAGGTACTCTGTGAAGGCCTTTGAGAAACACACAGACATGCAGATACTTTTTTCTTCACCATCCACCTCGTGCTCTATGCTGAAAGATAGGCCAGCATCTCTCTTGGTTCTGCCACACTTGTGTTCTGGAGATTCCTCGAAGAGGATGCTCCCCAAATCCCACCCCAGCTCTGCTGCCCATCCACCACGAAAGCTTGTAGGTCCAGGCCACTGATCAGACTTGCTCTGTCCTGTGGGGGCTCCTGGGTTTGACCATGGCTGAGCTACACCCTCAGATCCAAGAGCTACCTCCCACCAGGTGCAGAAAAGGGAGAGATACGCTCTGCTTTTTCTGCTCCAAGTTTGTATTTTCTCCCACTCCCTCCAGATTTCCTTGATAGCAGGCGAAAAACTAATTTCAGAAAAAACTTCACAAGTAGCTAGTTCACAATTGTTACCGCCAAAAAAGGAGAAGGAACGGGGGAAAGAGAAGGAGAAGGAGAAGGAAAAGGAAAAGGAAAAGGAGAAGGAGAAAGAGAAGGAGAAAGTCAAGGACATGAAACAGGTGAGGAGTGGGCGACATGGTGTACCTCACTTGAGGTGGGAGCTGGAGGGTAACCCCAACCCCACTGCATCCATGTTGGGGTTCTTTCAAATGTCCCATGCCTCAGCTTCCCATTCTGTAAGGCATGCTATCCCAACCCTGGCCACAGCCTCCATCCACTGTGCCAGAGGCTGGCAGCCTATCCTCTCCATATTGTGCCACAGGGGCATCCGTTACAGAACTCCATGTTTTACGGTAAATCTTGCTTTCTCTCATTCACAGATCTCAACCCCAGTTCCCATCAAGCCACCTGATGATACCCCCTCCAGCATAGAAGAGTGGGCCTCCTACTCATGCCCCGAGGAGCTGTTGTCTGTATTCAGACAAGACAGGAGTGACTCCACTATTAACCCCTCAAGTTTCCAGAAGCCGGTGAGTGGATCTGAGAAGCCAGCCAGGTCTTTGCCACAGGGCTGGCAAACCCAGCCTCCCTCCCCCAAAGCTATAGCTGCCATTTCTGCTGAAGATATTACCAAAGAGAGACCCATGAGACAGAGGTTTCATAGAGAGGGCTAAAAGGGAGCCGTTTTCTGCCTTTAGCACCCACAGCCCTCTCGTTGGCACCCTCTTTCTTCCTAATAGCTGCCAACATCCATGGAAAGCCCCATCCTGCTACATCCATACCCGGGGACACATAGTCTTGGCACTGCTCTGCCTGCTGTCATAGCTCCACGCACTAGGCAGCAATGACCACATGAAACACAGGAACTTGGTATCGGCAGGAACTTGGTCCCTCTGGGTGCTTCACACCACCCCATCTCCACCACCAAGGCCACACAACCTCTCCTCTCTAGCAAATCCAGCACTTGTAGAGACCTCCAAGGTTATACACTCAGGGCTGTACCTTGGACAGAGCCTCACCCTGGTCGTAGAGCATAATACATCCCTTTGGATGCAAAGTTCCATGTATTAGGACTCCATGTTCTTAGGGGTCCACGGTCCAGCCACCTTCTTCTGCCTTGTGGGGGCTTCATGGGGATAGAACTGTTTGGCATATTCCTCTCGGTCAGTATGTTGGTAGGGTTCACCCATGCTGTTTGGGGACAACCATTTTTTTGTCCCTTTCAATGCTGCAGCGCCCACTGCAGTGGCACTTGTTGAGCCTGCCCACTCCCCTGCTAATGGACAACATGCTGGTGGTTCCTACAAACGAAGCATGTGTGAACACTGGTGCCCATTGTTGCTGGACCACAGTATGGGAAACTTCCCAGTGGCGATGAACATTGCCAAGTGACAGATGGCATCCCAGGGTTGCCGTGCTGACTTCCATCCTTGTGCTTGCAAGGGGAGCTCCTGCTGCCCACGTCCTGGCCAGCCTGTGCTAGTGTGCATGTGATGGTGTCTCCCATGGCTACAGCGATGCTGGGTGCCCTGTCAGCCTGTCCTAGCCCTTTCTCTTTTGTGATGTGGCTAGCCAACAAAACCGCCACAATTTAACAAGTTTTCTTTTTCTCTTGTGGAATTGAAAAAAATCACAGGCCTTTTCTGAGAGGGTCATTCTGATTGTCCTGTATAGTCACTTTGCGACTTGCCTTTCCTCCCATCATGGGTTTTCTGTGTAGAAACGTTAACTTTAGTGTTAGAAAATCAGGAATCTTTTGCCCTGTGACTGGTGCTTCCTTCTGTCCTTTTTGAAAACAAAAAACAGACAAAGAAACAAAAAAAAAAAAAAAAACAGTTTCCTTTCCTGAAGTCAGAGATAGTATCCTCCCCAAGGCACAAATACCCTTCACCTGTATAGCCTAGTATCAGATTCAGATCGAGTGGTTTGTGTGGACGGAGGCCAGGAACCACTCAGGCTTGTCACTAATCCTGGGAATTAGCTGGGTTTTTTTCTCCCCTAGATACTCAGTTGTATACATATACGAAGAAATTCTGTATTTAGTGGATCGTCAGTTTTAATTGGAAAAAAACTAAATGGAATAGGAAATTAATGAATTAATGGTTGCATCTCTTGTGCAGATCTTTAACAATACTCTGCTGCTGACAGCCATGGCATTGCATATGACAAAGCAAAACCTGTAATAACAGATAGGGAAGAGGGCACCCCACAAACTTGTAAAACCCTTGCTGAGCGCTGGCATGCAGGCAAAGCTGGGTATATTAGCTAACTTTTCTTGCTGTTGTGACCAGAATACCAAAGCAACTTAAAGGAGAAAGCATTTGGTTTGAGGGTACAGTCTACCCTGGTGGGGAAGTCACAGAGGCAGGAACTTGAGGCAACTCATCACAATCCATCAGCATTCAGGAAGCAAACAGCAATGAATGGTCCATGCCAAGCCAGCCTCCTCCTCATTATGCAGTCCAGGACCCTAGTCCATGGCATAGCCCCGCCCATGACCCTAGTGCATTGCACGGCCCCGCCCATGACCCTACTCCATGGCATGGCCCCGCCCATACTTAGCGTGGGTCATCTCACGTCAGTTAACCTAATCAAGATAACCCTTTGCAAAAGAAACCCAGAGTCTCTAACCTACTCTAGATCATCTGTCCCAGGCATGCCCAGACTCGTCTCCTAGGTGATCCTAATCATGCCAAGCTGACATCAGCATTAGCCATCTCTCTAGGGGACTAGTGTGCTACCCCTGCCTGTGACTGCACCCATTTGCTGTGTGTTGCTGCAGACGTACAGTTTGTACTACATAGACCATTTGGTCAAAGCCCTGCAGAAGATGTACCTTCACGAGCTCAGCATCCCGATCCTGCAGCTGGCTGTGCTCATTGCAGATGTTGTGGTGGAGAGCAAGAGCCTCACGGACCTCTACCACCTGCGGTTGGTATCTCTCCTTTACCTGAAGTGGTGAGAGTGGCGTCTGCCCACAGCAATAGAAGAACAAACAGCGCCTTAGATATGAATTCTGTAGCTAGTTGTATAAATAATAAATCCCCAAGACAGCCAGACAGTGGAATGGTACCTACCTGCTGCTTAGAGAGTACCTTTTTTTTTTTTTTTTTTGCTTCAGGAGACACATACTGGGGTATTTAAGGATCAAGGGACACTATACTTCCCACGAAGGGTCTAGGAGGAGCAGAAATGGGGGAGACAGTGGTAAAGAGAACATGTCGACACTCAGGGGAGGAGGAACACACAGATAACGCTTGAGTGTGTTTGCATGGCTATAACCAAATGAAGTGCTTTAAACAAAACCTCAGCCGAAATTCCTGCTGGAGGCTATGGCAGGGTTTGGCAGAGCCCATATGGGTACCTGGCTGTTAACCTCTAAAGATGTCCCAAAATGTACCCATAGGGAATAAAATATGTGAGTGAGTGACAGAGAAATTACCACCTGAAGTTTCACAGAACCACCTAGCGTTTTAGTTATGCTAATATATATATATATATATATATATATATATATATATATATATATTAAAACACCAAAGTACATTTGCTTTAGTTCCCCAGCCTTGATTAAGCACCCCAATCCAGGACCACTCTCTTTGGAGATGACTGCATCCATGCCTCTTCCCTCCCCGCCTTCCCCCTCAGACTTTTACAGGTGTGCTCTGACCTGAGGTTGCACAACGCAGCAGCTTATCATGAAGAGGTGGTTGGACAGACATACATTGGGGACATGGAGCAGGCCAGGTGTGTGCAGCGCTTGCTTCTGGGTATGGGACTCCTCTTTGCAGCGAAGTACAATCCAGGCTGTTTGGGACAGCGCTGAGGAAACCCTAGCCCCGAGCTGTGGCTCCTCTCAGTCCCAGGCCCATTGCAGCTACTGGATCCTCAGTCTGGGCTTGGAGGTCCTGGAGGAAGTTTCTAGGGAGGAGTACCTGGGAGGGCCGTGCAGAGAGAAGTATGAGCGTCTCCTCCATGGTTTTCATGGCAGGTTTGGGGACTGCCAAGCTGTGGGTGCTCCGCAGAGGAAAGGGAAGAGGGGTCAACAGGACAGGACCGGGACGGCTGTCCTTCACCAGTCCCAGGCTCCTCCCAGGGGGTGCTGGAAGTGACGGCACTGAGTGACACACATATTTGGTTTGGGGTTTTGGGGTTACTCTGGAGCTCTTGTGGTTGGTTGATAGTAGGCTGTCCAACAGTTAAATTCACCAATTACAGATTTTGTAGCAATCCTTTTCAGACTTAGAGACCACCTAAGAATACATAAGAATGTATACATAGTTATATTATTATTGATTATTGCAATGTAACTCCCCCCACACACACATAAATTATATGATCATTGTGCAAATTTTAGAAAACTGGTAAGGGAGAGAATAAATGTCATTGTGGGCCCCTTCCCTTGGCAGCAATCCCCTGGGGTTTCGCCATTGCACGCTGGATCAGTCATGAAAATGTAATTCCACTGCATACACGTTTCCCTCTGCGGCCTTTGGCACTGAGTCTCTGTCTGAAAAACCATTTTTGTGTTCTTAGCACAGTCATTTGTCTGTGCATCCCTGCACTGACTGGGAGATGTTTGCTGAGGGGGTTCAGAAACGCAGTCGCCAAGCCCTGGAGAGGCGCCTGCCTCTGCCTGCTCTTGGGTTCACTCTGAGAACCTGCTGTGCGGTATGGGAGGCACTGCAGGTGGGCTGCAAAAGAAGAAGGTAACCGAGACTGACAAGAAGGGTTGGTGCCAATGGAGATGCCAGGGCTGGAGATGCAGAGAGCCCTCAGTTTCAAGAGCATGCAGCCAGGGAGCCCTGGGCAGTTGGATGAGCAAGACTTTTGGGGATCTGTGAAGGGACATCCTTGGGCTGAAATTGTTGGATGCTCTGATGGGAAGAACCGTTGTACGAGTGAGAATTTGGCCAGACTGGGTTGAACGCTGTGATGCACTGGCCCACCTCCCAGGGGGCCACTCTGGATGTAGTATGGTGGATGACTCAGAACTGAGGTAAGTGGTGAGGGAGGAGGTGCATCTTGGGTAGAGGGGCCACTCGGCTGCTCTGTGGGAAACCCTGAGCGCTAAGTGGCTTTTACCTATTTGGAGGGGTACCAGAGGCAGGTCTGCTCTTCATACATTAAACTTGAGAAGCTCGTTAAACTACATTCAGCTCGTCAGACAGCTGCAGAGAGAACAGGTAGCTGGTGTGGTTCCAGGACCCAGACTGCTGCCCAACTGGAGACTGGCTTTCGTAGTCATGTCTTGACTTAGTTTGGGTTTTGGTTGCTGTGAAAAGACACCATGACCCCGGCAAAACTTATAAAGGAAAACATTTAATTGAGGTGGCAGCTTACAGTTTCAGAGGTTCAGTCCATTATTATCATGGTGGGGAGCACGATGGTGTGTAGCAGACACGGCGTTGGAAAAATAGCCAAGTGTCCTACATCTTGCAACAGAAAGTTGACTGTAGTCAACTGAGAGAAGCTTGAGAAGAGAGACCTCAAAGCCCGCCCCCACATTGACACACTTCTTGGAACAGGGTCACACCTACTCTAACAAGGTCATGGCTCCTAATAGTGCCATTCCCTTTGGGGGCTATTTTCTTCCAAACCACCATGTGTGTGAAACGTGGCTTCTCCTGGTTGTGTTAGCTTATGTTTCTTTGACTTTAAACGAAACTCACCAATGTTACCAGCCATTGCAACTCTTGTCTCATGATGTTATTTCACTTCATCTAGCTGCCGAAAAGAGATTGCGTTTAAGAAAGAGAGGAACAAGGAGCCTGTGATAGAAGAAAGCCAGCCAGCCCTTCATGAGCAGCTGGCTCCAGCCCGCTCTGAGGAAATGAAGCCACTAATAGCTCAAGACAAGGTAGGCTGCCACTGCCTCGGTGGGATCCACAGATCAAAGGTGACACTGACTTAGCCTGACTCTGCCACAGTGGGGTCCAAAACCTAGAGGTGACATCAGCTTGGTTGCAGTGTAGGCGTGGCTTAAGAGTCCGAGAGCCACCATTGATTTCTGAAGTGCTCACTGCATACACTCTTAGGTATGGTTTTTATGGGAAACTCAGAGATCTGACCAAGTTTGTCCTACCCTGGGACCCTGAATTTGCTCAGGGAAGGCAAAAATCATATGTAAAACACATAACCTGGGGCCTGAGCAGCAACTTAAAGCATCAGCAGGCTGGAAATACAGTGTAATTGTTTACCTAAACTATTTAAGGCCCTGGGCTCAGGCAAGGGGAAGTAAAATGGGGGAAGATTTCTGCCAAGAAGAGTACATCCAAGGGGGTCTGACTAGACTCTAGCTGTCCTGTCACAAACTGGCTGCCTCCTTCTGTCCACAAATGGGAGAAAAGGCCATCCCAAAGAACTTTGGTTCCTCAGAGTGCCAACTCTGTGAGCCTGTTAGAGTCAGTACTTGGGGCATGGTGGAAAGTGCCCAACATGGGGTTTGTTTTGGGACCTGAACTCAGAACAAATGAGGGTCAAGGACTCTGCGAGCCATCCGCAATTGGGGTAGGGAATGCTGACAGGTACACAGGAAAAGGAGAGAAGAGCTTATCACGGTGGGACACAGACTAGGGGCAGAGTTTCTTAGAGACATGGTGTCTCACAGATTTTGAAGATAAATGGAGAGACTGGCAAGGGCCTGGATGGAACATCCTACCCCCAGCTGTGGATGCTCAAAGGGGAGGTTCTACTGGAGCTGGATCTGTACCAACCAGCACGGCTGCTCTTGGCAGAGGCCCAGCAGACATTCCAGGTAACAGGACTCACCCATCTCCATTGAAGCCATCTTGACCTGGGCCTGAACTCTTCATATGCATTCTTACTCCTCATCTAAGGACTTTCAGGGGCACCTGGCTTCTTAGAGTCTCCCCTGAGTCCCCCAAAAGGCTTGAGTTAGCATCGTTCCACAGAACACTGCTCAGGGTCCAGCTCTCTATAGACTTGGGGGCTTTGACTGTTTTTCTCTAAGGAGATGCTTACTAGAGGAACTTGCACCCAGACCTGGGGACCCAGTACCCACTCACTCCCTAGATTGATGTTTTGAGTCTCAAGTTCCAAACTACACTCGACAGGGATTCTTCTCTCCTGGACTCTGACCCCAGTGAAAAGCTGACCTTGGGCAATCTGGATGGAAGAAGCTATTTGTGTTGTCTGCTCTGATGATGCCATTCTCCCAAGTTACAATCCCCATGACTCCCCCAAACCCCTGCAGACAGACTTAGAATTGCTGTCCGTAGGAGGATGAAGCCAAGATCCTGACACAGCCAGCCTGTGGCTTGTTCTGAAGAATTCAAGGACTAGAGGAAAATTCAGCAATGACAGAAAAATTCAGTATTACCAGAAAGCTGTAAGCCCAGGCCCTGGTCCATACCAGAGCAGGGTGCCTTACCAGAGAGGGAGTAGACATGTATAAGTAGCAGGGGTGTGATTTGGAGTAGGGGAACAGCTGTGCAGATGTCAGGGATGAGAAAGATGTGCAAGTGCTAAAGACGGGACAGATGAACAGGTGTAGGGAAGAAGACACGGGTGAAGGCATTGGACAGGGAAGAGATGAGCAGGTATCAAAGAAAGGGGCAGGTGAGGAGGTGTTAGGGAAGGGAAAGATGTAGACGACTAGGAAGGAACAAGTCGAGCAGACAGATGTTCAGGTCCCAGGGAGCGAGTGGAGTGTCTTAGTTAGGGTTTCTGTTGCTGCAATGAAACATCATGACCAAAATACAATAGCCACATTGGGGAGGAGAGGGTTTATTTGGCTTACACTTCCACATTGCTGCTCATCGCAGAATAAAGTCAGGACAGGAACCCAAACATGGCAGGAACCTGGAGGCAGGAGCAGATGCAGAGGCCTTGGGGGTGAGTGCTGCTTACTGGCTGGCTCCCCATGGCTTTCTCAATCTGTGCCCAGCCACCAGAACAACTCAGCCCCAGGATCTGTGTACTAGAAACCTGGTTTTGGTTGGAGATGATCCTACTTGTATGCTAGGAGGACTAAGGAGCTGGTCTTGTACTGCCCAGATAGCTCACCACACACCCTCCTCCAAAGAATACCCTCCAGCCTGGATTTCCTCAGGTCCAGGGAGAACCACCACGGGTTGTCTGTTGATTACCTGACCAGCTGAGTAGAGCTACTGACAAATCCATGTATGCCCTCTCAGTTAGGTTTTCTATTGCTGTGACGAAACACCATGACCACAACAACCCGAGGAAGAAGGGTTTATTTGGTTTACACTTCTATATCACTATTTATCAAAGGAAGTCAAGACAGAAACTCAGAAAGGGCAGGGACATGGAGGCAAAAAATGTTGCAGAGGCCATGGGAGGATACTACTTACTGGCTGGCTCAGCCTGCTTTCTTGTAGAACCTCAGGCAGCAGGGCTGAAAGGCGCTACCAGTATGACCAAAATCCTTTGCAGGCTGAGTCCCATGACTCCCGGAGCACACTTGGCATTTCTGAGGGCTATCACTCCCAACTAGTGCCTATGCCAACTTGCATGGAACTGCCCATCTATCTATTGCATATTGTCTATTCCTGCTTTTAGGAACTAGGTGATAACTGTTCAGAAGCACAGTGCATGTTGCTTCTAGCACAGTTGGCCAATAAAGAAAAGAACCACGGACAAGCTATGCTCATACTTGAGAGGGCCCAGCAGCTAGGTGGAGCTGAAGAGTTCTGGTACAAATTAACCCTGACTCTGGCTGAGGCCATCTTATCCTCTGCAGATGATGAAAAAGAAATCTCAGTGAGTCGCGGTGCCCAGTGGACAATGAAGGGGGTATGGGGGAGGGTATGTGTTGAGGTCTTGTCCCCGGACCCTGCTGAGTGACTTGGTGGCGTGTGATCATCACATCCAGGTTTGCAGACTATTTCGGAAACTCATAGATACTCTCAAGGTCCTCCAGCATGAACGGCCAAACCGAGTGGCCCTGCTAGAATTCTTCATCATGGAGCTGGAGGCCAGGTAATGATGCCTCGTGTACCAGAGCTATGGCTGCTCCCCCCCACACACATTCCCTCTCATGCTATACGTGTCAAACCCAAAAAGGCTTAGACTCAGTGGAACCATGAGTCCCTTCCCTGCTTTGTGTGTCCCATGTGTCCTCAGCTTCCTCTATTATGTGCCTCAGAGGAGTCATGGCTTCCTCCCAGACAGCCCACATTTCCACAGTGTCTTTCCAGTGACTCCAGGAGTCTCTGGTCTCTGTCAGAGAACCCCTCCACCACCACCGCCCCCACCCCAGCTCTTCCACACATGCCAGTACAGACTTCAAGTCCCATCACACCCCCTTTCCCGGGAATCCTCTGAGCTCACTGACCACAGATGCAGAGATCCTCGTCTGCTCTAATTCCTCTCTGGAAAGTGCTGTACGCTCTGGGTCCTGATGTGAGTCTGTAAGCAGCCCCACATCAGCATCCTTTTCCTGTTCTCCAGGGGTGAACCTAATACCAGGGTGGGATTGCTAGATTCTAACTTCACTGATCCAGGGCCATGGCTGCATGGCATCAATCTTGGGACAGAAAGTCTCATTGGTATTTGATTCGGTGTCCCTGAGTGGGCCCTGGGCAGAAGAAGGGTTGCTGTGGTCTTGGACTTTTGAATCTGGTGTGGAAAACTTCAGTCTCCACCATCCTGAGAAGTTGCCTGTCTAACAGGTGCGTGGAACTTCAAACTCATCTTGCCTGCAACCTGGTGAACAAAGAACTGCTTGAGTACCCATTTTTGCTGTTAGACCTAGAGAAGCAGCTGTTGGAAGTCCAAGAAAGCCTTACACTCAGTGGCTGCAGGAAAAAATGTGTCGACTTAAAACTAGAGCATGCAAGGATAAAGAAGTAAGGGCATCATCACCCCCTCCAACCACACCACTGGAGCTGCTGGAGGTTCCGCCCTCTGAGCAGGGTCCACCTTTGAGCTCCCGCAGTCAGCCCCTCCCCTCCTCAGCCCCAGACATGACCAGACCCAGCTCCCTCCCCATCCTCCCTGCCAACCCACCCCTGCCATCCTGCAGGGTGGCACAGCTGTGTTTTCCAATAACTGTGCCGCTCTCCTCTCAGGCAGCCCCCAATGCTTCTCACAGCCTCTCTGCCCGCTCTGGGTGCCCACAAGCTCTTTACAGATGAGCAAATCCTGCATAGGTATGAGCATGACTTCAGGAGTCATGATCAGCCAACGCCCAAGTCACACCCATTACTCCGGGTGTGCTGCAGCACTATTGTGGGCCCCCAGAGAGGCAGGAAAGTAGGTGACTGAGCCAGCAGGTGGAAATTGGTGCGTTACTTCATCAAAGGCAGAGATTCCTTAGAAATGACATATACTCTGTCATTCCAACTGTTCAACATCGTGTTTTAAAATGTATTTAGAAGGCTAGAGAGATGGCTCAGTTGGTAAACCACTTGCCTTGCAAGCCAATGGCTTGAGTTCATTCCTCAGAACCCATATAAAGAAGCCAAGACCGGTGGTGTGCATTTGTAATGCCAGCCCTGGGGAGACAGAGACAAGTGGATCCTTGGGGGTGCTGGCTAGCAGTCTAGCCTACTGGGTGAGTTCTAGCCTAGTGCAACACCCTGTCTCCAAAGGATGGATGACACCTGAGGGGCAGTGCCAGGGTTGATCTTTGACCTCCACATGCGCATACATGTACCTGTGCACAAAAATGAACAAATCTACATACACATCGAAAACAAATAAATAAAATTTACTGAAAATACCTTTTGTGTAAAACACATAACTGTAAAATTTTAGGTACTGATAAAATGTATATAATAATTATGTAGAAATTAAGTATTATAATATTATACAACATATAATTATAGTGTGTTATATAATATATAATATACTATATTCCTATATATGTATGGCATACTATATATACCCCGTCTATATGTATTATAATAGACATAATATATTAATTATCTTTAATATCTTTGTTCTAAATTCCACTCTTATGTTGTATAAAGGTTATGTGCTGAAAGGGAGAAAAATGAAGAACAAAAAACTGCCTATCGCCTGGAAGTGTATGACTTGTCCCGGAAGGCTATAGCTGAGGAAGAAGAACAATTTCACAGAGTCCAGGGGATACTGTCACTTCACGATGTAAGTATGAGCCTGCACATCACAGTCATTTCTGTGGACAGGACAGCACTGCCTGACAGATAAGATCTTAAAACAAAACCAGCCAAGCACGGTGGGGCTTGCCTGCAATCCTAGCACTTGGGAGTAGCATGACTAATAAAAACCAAGAGACAGAAACTGGGGCTCAAACTGAAGGTCAGAAAAGCAAAACAGCCACCACTGGCTCTTACCTCTACCTCAGTCCAAAATGGCAATCTTGCCTCCAGGACTCTCAGAATGAGACTGTGTGTGAGAGCTGTCTCCTCCCGTCTTATATTCCTCCCTAGTGCTGGGATTAAAGGCGTCCACCACTACCACCCGGTTTCTGGGGCAAACTAGTGTAGCTAATGGGATTAAAGGTGTTTGTCACTACTGCCTGGTCTGTAAGGCTAACCAGTGGGGGCTGTTTTACTCTCTGATCTTCAATCAAGCTTTGTTTATTAAAATATAAATGAAATATCACTACACTGGGAAGCTGAGACAAGGGGATGGGAGTTCCAGGCCAACCTAGTGAAAACAAAAAAACTGCCTATTGCCTGGAATAGGCTCCCCAGTGAGGCCCAGTCCTATAAAACCACACACACACACACACACACACACACACACACACACACCAATATACATTTTCACAAAACCCATATACAAGGTCTGGGGACCAAGATCAGTCGGGAAAGTTGTAGGTATTCTCTGGGGGTACTGGGCCTCAGTACCGTCCCCAGATCTAATTCAGAAAGTGGAAATTCTCTTGTATAGAAGAGAAGCTCACCTTGTACCCATGGAACCTTTGAACCCATATAGCAAAGAAATAAATGTGCTGGCTGTGCTTGTCATTCCTGCACTGGGGAGGAGATGGGGGATCCCCGGGCTCACCGCTAGGCATCCTGGCATGCTCGGCAAGGTCCAAACCAGCAAGAGACTGTGTCTCCAAACAAGGCACATGGTTTCTACAGGACAACTCCTGAGGCTGTCCACTGGCCTCCGCAGGAATGTCCGCACACATGCCCACACGTTTGCACTGAGCATGCGCACATATACAAGCACCTACACACATTATATACATATTTGAATATATACATATCACAGAGCACAAAGCACCTGATTTTCACTTGCTGGCCAAGATCGAGTGACAGTAATCAGACTCTTGCACCGACACAAAGCAATTAAAAAAAGAAAAGAGACAAAATACAAGGCTTTTCGAAACCCCATACATCAACCATGCCAGTTAGTGATCCCTGTGCTTAAGTCCCAGCTAACTGCAGCTACAGAGATGGAACCAGGTAGAGCCTAGATGAAGACCTGAGTCAAGGAGATTGAGTCCTGAGAGTCGAGAGAGAAGAAGGCAAAACAGAGCCCATGGAGAATGCTGTTCACAGACGTCTAGGGGATACCCCCGAGTGCCTAAAGACTAGTTGCCGGTTCATGAAAGAAGGAAGCTGCCCAAGACTGGGAAAGAACCACACGGAAGGATTACAGAAAACACCCTGGTGCTGACTGGGGGGGTCACGGAAGTGGGGTGGGAGGGGCTCCTAGGCCTCAAGATAGTGGGCAGAGAGCACAGAGGGCCTGACCTCAGAATTTGGCAGTAAATAAGTAAGTGAACCCTACCATGCAGTGCCTACAAGAAGGCCATTATGGACATAAAGACAGAGATAAAGAAAAAAAGACAAGTCAAATGCTGGAAGGAATATCCCATGCAAAGGCTGATCGAAGGACAGCTGCAAACATCAGCAGGGATGAAAAGATTTACCGCATAGAGGAGACTAACCAAGAAGAAAGCTAATCTAAACATTATGACCATGATAGGAGAGCTGTAAAAGCAAACATTGGTCTTTAAAAAAATTGCTAAATCTATTAGAGCCAAAAGCTTCAGTATCCTTCTCTTCAATTATTAGTAGAACAAGTAAACATGAAATCAGCAAAGAATGAGAAGATTAAAATATTATCAACCACATTTTTTAATGTTTCACTCAGCAATACTAGAATACATTCTCACACAAATGTGGACTGTCTTCCAACATAGGCTATACTCTGAACATAAGATGAATCTCATTAAATATGAATCATACAGAGGATTGTATGTAATTAAATTGGGCATCAAAACCAGGAAGTAGGGGCTGGAGAGATGGCTCAGAGGTTAAGAGAACTGACTGCTCTTCCAGAGATCTTGAGTTCAATTGCCAGCAACCACATGGTGACTCACAACCATCTGTAATGGGGTCTGGTGCCCTCTTCTGGCCTGCAGGGATACATGCAGACAGAACACTGTGTATATAATAAATTATTAATTCTTTAAAAAAAAAAACAAACAGGAAGTAGAGTAGAAAAATCCATAGACAGAGAAAAGAGACTAGTGGCTTCTGGGGGACAAGGACAGGAACAAGAAGTGATGGCTAATGTTAGTATCCAGGCTAGAATCTGGGTTTCCTTGTAGAACAAACACTGTGGGTTTATCGTGTGCTACTGAATTGCATACTTCAGTGATTAGATTAATTTTATTTTATGTGTACGAGTGTGTTGCCTGTTAGTATGCATGTGTGCCTGGTGCCCATATAGGTAGGTCAGAAGAAGGTGTCAGATCTCTTAGAACTGGAGTTACAGACAGTTGTGAGCCACTGCATGGGAGTTGGGAATCCAACCTGGATCCTTTGCAAGCGTAGCAGGTGCTCTTAACCACTGAGCCATCTCTCCAGCCTTCATACTTCATATTTGTTGATTCATTTATGTTGCTTTTACCTTCGATTAAAAAAAATTGTGTGCATGGGAAGCCCCTAATGTTTAGAATATAAATAGAATGAAGCCGACAGTTCTGGGTCACAGAAGAAGCCAGAGACGGAATGTTTTGAAATGGGGGGCAGAAAGGACATCGGGGAGTTTAAGATGTCATTATAGTACTTGGGGGGACCTTGAGCACTAAGCACCTGAATAATAGCAATAATATCAATGGGCCAGACATCAGTGAGCTCAGCCTTTACCTTAAAAACAGAGAGCAGACCGAATCCTGAACAAGTAGCAGATGGGAATTAAAGGTGAAACAAAAAAGTCACTGAAAATCCAAAACAACCTCCAAGCCTAATAAAATCCACAAAACAAGAATTGTCAAGACCTTGGGTATCCAAGGGTAGTCTCTGAGCTGAGGTTCAAGCTCATTGCAACTCCTTAAAGAAGAAGGTCACAGCTGGGCATATACCATTAATCCCAGCACTCTGGAGGTAGAGGCAACTAGATCTCTATGAGTCCGAGGCCGGCCTGGTCTACAAAGAGTTACAGGATAGCCAGAGTGGTTATGCAGAAAAAGAAAGAAAAAAAAAACTGTCTCAGAAAAAATAAAATAAAATAAAAGGAAAGGAAAGGAAAAAACAAAACAACAGAGATGATCACTAGAGTCAAAGCTGGTTCTTCGGGACAGATTAGCGGTAAACTGAGTCAGACTTATCAGACAGTCCGTCAAGATTTAAGTGCCAAATACCAGAAATGAGTGACCTAGCCCTGCCATGGACTCTGCCCATGTTCAAAGGACAGTGAGGTGACCTGTGAATTTTACAAGTTAGGTGAATTAGACCCACACTTGCAGTGCCCGCTCAAAAAGAAATAACTATAGAGCAACTCTGTGAATGAGGGGAATTGAGTTTGTAATTGAAAACCTTATCACAAAGCAAATGTCAAGCCCGGGCAGATCTACTGTTGACTTCTACCAAATAGTTTTACAAAATACCACCTCTAAGCAGATGATTTTAGAAGTGAATTTTTCAATGAGATCAGTCTAACTCCAAAATAAGGTAAAGGAGGGCATAGTGGCACTCGCCTTTAATCTGAGAACTCAGGAGGCAGAGGCAGAAGAAGCTCTGTGAGTTCCAGGACAGCCTGGTCTAAATAGTAAGCTCCAAGACAGCCAGGACTACATAGGGAAACCTTGCCTCAATTTAAAAAAGTTGAAGCTCAAACAAACAAACAGGCAGACCAGTGCTACACCTGAGCAGAGCTAACATAAAAGTATAACACCATTTTTACTGGTGAACGACTTCCCAATTCTCTTTTTGCTGCTAAGGACTAAGATAGTGATGTCTTACCACTTCTATTCAGCCCCGTTCTGGGTGTTCTAGCCAAAGCAACAAGGCTAGGAAAGAAACTAAAGCAATCAGATAGAAAGAAGGGACATGGAAGTAAAATACTTTTTCACAATTGAAGAAGACGCCGGAAAATGACAAGCTCTCCCATGCTCTTGGGTCGGTAGAATTAACCTAGTAAAAATGGCGATCTTACCAAAAGCAATCTACAGATACAGTGCAATGCCTGTCAAAATCCCAGCGAAATTTTTCACAGACCTTGAAAGAACAATACTCAACTTCATATGGAAAAACAAAAAACCCAGGATAGCCAAAACAATCCTGTACGATAAAGGAACTTCTGGAAGCATCACAATCCCTGACTTCAAACTCCACTACAGAGCTACAGTACTAAAAACAGCCTGGTATTGGCATAAAAAACAGGCAGGGGGACCAATGTAACCGAATCAAAAACCCGGATATCAATCCACATATCTATAAACACCTGATTTTTGACAAAGAAGCAAAAAATATAAAATGGAAAAAAGCATAATCAACAAATGGTGCTGGCATAACTGGATATCAACATGTAGAAGAATGAAAATAGACCCATATCTATCACCATGCCCAAAACTCAAGTCCAAATGGATCAAAGACCTCAACATAAAGCTAGCCACACTGAACCTCATAGAAGAGAAAGTGGGAAGTACACTTGAACGTATTGGCACAGGGAACCACTTCCTAAATATAACCTCAGCAGCACAGACACTGAGAAAAACAATTAATAAACAGGACCTCCTGAAACTGAGAAGCTTCTGTAAAGCAAAGGACACGGTCAACAAGACAAAATGATAGCCTACAGAATGGGAAAAGATCTTCACTAACCCCACATCGGACAGAGGTCTGATCTCCAAAATATACAAAGAACTCAAGAGCAAAAGGTCATCAAAAGAAGAGATAATCCAATATAAAAAAAATGGGGTGCAGACCTAAACAGAGAACTCTCAACAAAGGAATCCAAAATGGCTGGAAGACATTTAAGAAAATGCTCAACATCCTTAGTCATCAGAGAAATGCAAACCAAAACAACTCTGAGATTCCATCTTACACCTGAAAGAATGGCAAAGATCAAAAACACTGATGACAACTTATGCTAGAGAGGATGTGAGGTAAAGGGAACACTCCTGCATTGCTGGTAGGAGTGCAAGCTGGTACAAGACCTTTGGATGTCACTGTGGCGATTTCTCAGAAACTTAGGAAACAACCTTCCTCAAGACCCAGTAATACCACTTTTGGGTATATATTCAAAGGATGCTCAATCGTGCCACAAGACCATGTGCTCAACTATGTTCATAGCAACATTATTTGTCAAAAGCCAGAACCTGGAAACAACCATTTATGCCTCTCAACCAAAGAACTGATGAGGAAAATGTGGTCCATTTACACAATGGAGCAGAAAAAAATAATGACATCTTGAAAATTGTGGGTAAATGGATGGAACTAGAAAACATCATATTGAGTGAGGTAATGCAGACCCAGAAAGACAAATAGAATGTGTACTCACTCAGAAGTGGCTTTTGGACATAGAGCAAAAAAAAAAAAAAAAAAAAAAAAAAAAAAAAAAAAAAAAAAAAAAAAANCAAAGAGGACCCTAAGAGAGACATATATGGATCTCATCTACATGGGAAGTAGAAAAAGAAAAGATCTCCTGAGTAAATTGGGAGCCTGGAAACCATGGGAGAGGGTAGAAGGGGAGGGGAGAGAAAGGGAAGGGAGCTAAGAAAAATATATAGCTCAATAAAAACAATAAAAAAATTATTTTTCACAGGTAGCATGATTTTATAGAAAATCATGTTATATACCAAAATTAAAAACTAGAAATAAGCTAAAAAGTTAATGAGCATTAATGTTTAATTGAATTTCAGGGTCATATTATATGCCTATACAAAGAACGATTGATTGTATATTAAAAATTAAAACAGTATCATTTATGGCTACTTAAAAATGAAAATTGTCCTCCAAAATGTGAATGTTTATACAATAAACATTTGCTGAGAATAGTTAAAGATGTCTTAAGTAAATGAAAACAAAAGGCACGTTCCTACATCAGAAGACTACATATTGTTAAGGTGTCAGTTCTTCCTTAACCATAACTAAGATTACTACAGACACTTTTTAATATATGTTGGCAATATAATTTTAAAGCATGAAAGGTCTAAAATAGCCAAGACAATTTCAAACAAGAGTAAAATTAGAAGCCCAATCGTACCTGACTCTGTTATAACTCTATAACTCTGTTATAGAGCTACAGCATTCAAGACCGTGTGCTCAGTGGGAAAACAAACAAACACGCAAACAGATCAATGGGACAAACCCAAGAATCCAGAAATAGAGACACACATAGAATCTAACAGAGGCACAACTCCATGGACAAAGGATAGTCTTTAGGTGATGCTAGAACATCAGGAAATGCATGTTCAAAAACCTCACCTTCCACTCACACCTCAGCCTGAGATAGAAAATAGCCTCAAATGGATCAGAAGCCTAAACCAAAAGCCTAGAACACACAGCAAAGTCCCTTGGTGATGAGATATTTAGCATAGACATGCACCTAACACATGATCCAATAAAAGGATAAATAGCTAAATTGGTCTTTTCTTTAAGCTACCAAGAAAAGGTGAAAAAACACAGACTGGGAGAAAACATTTGCAAATTTCGTACCTCGATAGCAGTAATGGACCAGGAATGCCTAAAGAACTCTCAAAATTTTAAGGGTGAAATATTAAAAATGAGCAAATTATTTGGAGAGGTATTTCCTCAAATGTGTGGGAAACAAGCACACGGAAAGACAAACATCGTCCTTGTGGCGTATGGAGGAGTCTCAAAACAACCAGACAGAGGTAAAGCGGACAGAACGACCACGCGCTATAAGATGCCACGTCTCCAAAGCTGATACTACACCACAGAGCAGCAGGCTGTCTTGAGCATGCCCTGCCAGAAACAGAGACAAGCACATTTGTGTCTTTTTACAGCATGAGGGTTTGTTGAAGAAAAATAAATTCACAAGGATTAGGAGTGTTCATGGCAAGCAATTTGCCAGATTATCTGGCTGCTTTAGTAATCTGGCCAAGGCAAATGCGGTTCTTATCTTCCAAACTCAGTTACAAATATTAACTCATATTACACAGCACACAGTGAGTAGTTCTGTATATGCACGTGTGTGGGTTGCAGAAGGAATACAAGTTAAAGAGGCTACCGAAGCGTTCAAGAGGTTTCAGAGGCGGGCTGAGAGAAATTCTATGGAGTTTGAATTGGAAAGAAATCCAGGAAAGAAACTGTTGCCACAGAGACTGAGCTGAGGACGAGTCAGGTTTGAGAACAAAAACCTAGACATCTGCAGAGATGCCAGGGCAGAGCAGGTTTGGGTCTGAATGGGCACACACGTAGACAATCAGAGACAGCTGCGTGACCAAGGGAAGCAGAAGCCTCCAGATTAGTTAGAGATTCTCTGCCTGGTGTTCTGCATGCACACACACACACCAGGTATCCGATGATAAACTGGTTTGGGGCCATGCCTTCACAGTGTTAGGTGTCCATCATCACTTTATGGGTGGTAGGTGAAGGAGTCGTGTCCTTTCCCTGGTGTGACATTCTGGTTACGTTCTTGGGCCTGGTTTCCCTAATATTTTAATATACCTATATACCCTTATGGTTTCAGTTCACCCCAGTAATTGCACAGAGTGGCTTTTTTTTTTCTCCCAGGAATAACCCGTGTATCTGTCTAGACTGCATAGGTGGTGCCAGACAGATGGTGGTGTTTGTGGGTCCAGCCAGGAGCTCAATCATCCTCCATCTTCAAAACCGCTTGCAAAATGGAGTCTCTCAGGGCAAAGGCCCAGCCTGAAAAACTACTGTTTATATACACAATACGAGCAGCTTAGAGCAGGAATCAGCCTGATGTCAATACAGGCTCAAGAGAGGACACGGGGGAATCCAGAGGGTGAACACCACGTTCCTTCCCTTAGGTTGGTAATAGTTTGGCATCTATTGGCATGTCAAAATGTATATCCATTTTACAGTTCAATTTCATACTTCAAATGCATTCTGCCTATGGCAGGTCGGCTATGCTTTGTCAGAATACTTTGCAATGGTTAGTGTCCTCGCTTTACCCAGTCCCAATCATCTCAGTTACAGAACATCAACTCCCCACTCATGAGGAGACTGGCTCACCTCAAACTCCGCCTGGTAGAAACATGCCTGGACATGCAGCAGCTCATCTGCAAGGAGGCCTTGGAGCTGCAGCTGGAGCAGGGCTCCTTTGAGAAGCTGCTTGCGGACTTCCTGCATAACACCAGCGACTTCTCATCCATCGACTTGGTGACTGCAGGGCTCCTTAGCCCCTGTTCTCTCCTGGGGGGCTGACACACTAAAAGCAGGTGCCAATCTGTGGGACCCCAATTTCCACCCACCCCACCCCCTGCCATGGCAGCTCTTGATGACTCCCATACTTTGCTGCCAGATCGCCCACCAAGAGGACTTAACTAACAATGAAGAGCTTATTGGAAGGCATTTCCTTTGTAGGCTTACAGCTTCCATTCCCAGGCCTTGGGGTTAGCCCCCCTCCCCCATTCCCTCCTAGCACTGCAGACAGAACAATTTGAATAAATGAATACCAATTGAAAAGAAAACCCTTCTTCCCCTTCCTTCCTTCCCTCCTTTCCCTCCCCTCCTCCTTCCTTCCTTCCTTCCTTCCTTCCTTCCTTCCTTCCTTCCTTCCTTCCTTCCTTCCTTCCTTTCCTTCTTCCCCTTTCTTCCCTCCCTTCCTCTCTCCCTCCTTCTTTCCTTCTTCCCTCCCTCCTCTCTCCTCCCTTCCTTCCTTCCATCCTTTCTTCCCTCCCTCCCTCCCCCTCCCCCCCTCCTTTAGGCAGCCCTAGGAATAGAACCCAGGGCCCTGCACATGCAAGGCTAGCACTTCACCAGCTCAGCTGTAGCTCCAGCACTTCCCATTCTCTTAAATGCCACGAGTCAGGTTAACTTTGGGTAAACATAAAGGATCCTACAGTTAGCCTCTATCTATAAGAGTTCTGGTTTATATTAGTAGAAGTTGTCTTTGATTATCATTCCAATATCTAAGTCCCAGAGACACCCCCTCATGCTACCACACAGGACTGCCCAGAGCAAAGACATCTCAAAGTGCCCCGAAGTTCCCTGCTAGGCAGTCCTGGAAGGTAGCTATCTGAGACCTCGGGGTGACTGGGTGGAGGTCACATGACAGCCGTTGGTGGTGACGGCATCTCCTTGTCTTCCCCAAAGCAATGGTTCATACTGAAGCGGACCCTGCCTCACACAGTGCTGACACAGCTGGAGAGTCTGCAGCCGCTTTGCGTGGGCTGCATGGACATCCGTGCCCAGCTTCTGGTCCTGGCTGGGAAGGCCCTCCATCTGCTTTCTGTGCAGACAGACCCGGTGTACCCTTCCTTCTGCTGGGAGGAAGACCTCCTGGTAGGTGGCCATTCTTCCCACTGAAGTCTAGTCCCTGATTTTTCCACCTCTGCTGTAGAACTGGGGCATAAGGGGTGTTCCAGCAACTCAACTAGGAGGGGTCTAGCCTTGGCATCCCTCTGTCTTGGTGGTTTGTGCCTGGTTGTGCACAGGCCCCTGGGAGCTTCAAAAACCTCATGCACTACTTGGGATACACCTAGGCCCTGGGTGTTGACCTCCATGCTAAGATGCGCCAGGATGGGTGTTGTCTGCCCCTATGGCCCTCTATGTACCACACGGCCCAGGAAATCTCTGAGAACGGCAAATGGCTCCTTTTCCTCTGATCCTCCCAGGGCCCACCCTCTTTTAGGGCTGGGTTCTCTGACAGAAACACTCACTAAATTCAGAAGCCTGGTGACAGCTCTTGCAAGCCTGCCTATCCCTGGTCCCCTTCCTCAGAGCCTGCACAGAGATATGTCTACTCCAAGATGGCACCAGCCTCAACAGACAAGCCAAAATGCCTAGCAGACAAACCCTGTGGGGTTCGCCCTCACAACCCAGTGTAGCAAGCCATGGCCCAGAACTCAGCGCCCAGAGAAGCTCCCAGACAGCTAGCTCTGAAGCCCTTGGCTGAGAACCCCGGGGGGGGGGGGGTTTGTGCTGAATTCTTAGGGTGTAGACAGCATGAAACCAATAAGACCCACGCTGGGTGAGCAGACGTTTGTAGCTCCTGCCAGGTCACAAAGTCAGGCTTGAGATGCGGAAGCACAAGCCCCACGGCTCTCTGTCCTGAGTTAAGGTCTTCATCTGTAATACAGTGGGGACCACTGTCTCTAGACATGTAATGACGGCAGTGGAGAGCTCAGGAACTCCAGGAAGCACACCTACTTCCTCCCAGACCCCGGAGTCCCCGCCTCTTTGCATTTGTTCCTTTTCCTCTTCCTCGGCTATGCCTGGCTGCTACTGTCCAGTTTCCTGACACCAAAGCTCACCCTCCTTCCTCCGAGTTTCCTTCTTGTTTTCCAGGCGCGCTCTTTCCTCTAAGCGCCTCTCCATGAAGCCTGCTAAGTTTAGTGTGGAGAGCTTTCATTCTCCAATTCATCTCCCCAATGGCACCGTGGTGTCTTCCTTGATGGGCTCCATGGCGCTAAGTGGCGTGTCTGACTCTGAGGCTACTGCACTGTCGCAGGCGTCTGTTCCCGATTATTAGCCCCACCTCACTCGTGATCACTGTCCTTGGGGATCTGCTGGTGGCCAGGGCCTGGTGGGTTTTGGCAGCACTGACACTCTTGAGAGGTGGCGTCACCCGATGCCAGGTGGGCCAGGGCCTGACTTTTCTCCCACTCTGTATGTGGGCCATGGAGAGGCTGCCTCTCAGTTCCTACCAAATTGGCAACACCATTGACCCCCCCAAACCCATGGCTCCTGAGCACTGGCAACTTCCAGGACCTACTGATCCCTACCATCTTCCCCTTCCCTAGCGTCTGTGTTCCCCTCTTAACATATGGTGTACACTGTAGGTAGGCCCCAAGCAGAACAGCCTGCAGTCGCTGGAGCCGGAGACAGACACAGAGGACAGGAATGTGGAGACCACCTCCAGGGACTCGACAACCTTGAAGGAAGCCCCCAAGGAACAAAACCAGAAGGCTGAGGGTCTGAAGGTACGCAGCCCTCCCTGCGGTATTCTGATGGCCTCTGCCTGAAGAGCCGGCCTTAGCTTGAGCTTTGTGCTGCCCGCAGAAGAGGGTGGCGCTGGCCCAGAGGTTCCTGGCTCAGACATCGGAAGTACTGCTGCAGTGTTTGCAAGCCGCCCTGAGCAGCAACCTTCTGGACATCGCAGCCACTGCCAGCTTAGAGATGGTGGAGTGTATTGGCACCCTGGATCCCATAACCACCTGCCAGTTCCTGTCACTGTCGCAGGTACGGACCTCCTCTGTGCATCTCCAAAAGGGCCCTTGTCTGTCACCTTGTCTGTAAGTACCAGGTGCTGCTCTCATTAGACAGGGCTGGGGTGGCCCTGTGGCTGAAAAAAGAAGAGACCCTCCTTGTTCTCTGAGTCTTAGGTTGTGCTGGTCCTCAAGGAGTGGAAGCCAGCCAGGTACCTGTTCTTGTAGCTCTGCAAACACACGCTGTGCTCACCCTGTACCCCAAGTCTCCTTGGTGAAAGGTACTGCTCTCCCTCCTGCAAGCTGGCATAGTCCAGCTACACAGTGGACAGAGATCCAGCAGAGGGTGACCTACATATACTCCCAGATGCCCACTCGAGGCTCCGTCACCCTCAGCCCTTTCCCACTGCACACACCACCCCTCTCTGCTCCATTCCAGAGCTGTTCAACCTCAGAGATGATGCGGGATGTCCTGCTCACGGCCACGGACAACACCAGCAGCTCCCAGCTGGCGGCCCTGCTGCAGCTCCACCAGCGGCTGAGGCAGCAGGACAGGACCTCCACCAGCCTGTTTGCCAGCGTGGAGCAGAGGCTGGCCTCCACTTCCAGGGTAAAGGGCAAAGGAGCCTGCAGAGCTGCTCCTGTGGCCTGGAGGCCTCTGAGCTCACTTGCTGACTGCTAAGAGGACAGCTTCTAAGTGACGCTTGCCTTACCCCTTCTAGCTGTGTGGTTCTGGAGGACCACGCAACCTCTCTGAGCCCCCTCTGCTGTGGGTGCAAGGACAAGAAAGCTTAGAGAATTGCAGTTCCTTCCCCCCACTTGCCCCAGGGTAGCCTAGGTGTAGTCGGACCTTTTCGCGGGGACGCTAGCTCACAAATAATGACACGTAGACTTATTATTAATTAGGAATGCTTGTCTGCTAGCTTAGGCTTGTTCCTAACTAGCTCTTATAACTCAAATTAACCCATTTCTATTCATCTATGTGCTGCCACGTGACCCGTGGCTTGTTACCTCATCCCCTCCATGCCATGCTTCCTCTGCATCTGACTGGCATCTCCTCGTAACTCTGCCCTCAAAATCCTGCCTAGCTATTGGCCGTTTAGCTTTTTATTAAACCAGTCACAGTGACATGCCTTTACACAGCGTAAAGGAATATTCCACAACACCCAGATCTTGGTAAAGTCCAGTGACTAGCCAGTTTCATCTGTGTGGATTGCGTTGGGTGGGCTACTCAGTCTAGGGGTTGTAACCCACCCGCAATCAAGTTACTCCAGGGTCTCGGAGGGGCGCTACCTGGAAGGGAATGAGCTAAGACAGAAGAAGGAGGCCAAGCAGTTTTGTCAAAGCCTCCGTTTATTAGGGACGGGTTACAGTTTATATATGGTAAGGAATGGGGGGCAGGGTAACTGGATTCTTGCTGCGTGTTCCAGGTCACGTAGGCCAGGAGGTAGGCTAGGAAGTCAAGTGGCCACACCTGGTTCCCTGGATAGCTGGAATGTGAGGCGGGTTCCGCTAAGAGATTGCTGCTAATTGGGTGAGGGGCATTCTGCAGACTCCCCAGGGTGATGGTTCCTGTAATGATTGTTAGAGGGGAAATGGCTCCTGACACATCTGTGCTCTGACCAAGTGTGTCAAGAAAAACTGTGATGACATTTCACCAGCCACAGACAAAACGGATGATGAGGGTGGCCTGGCCACTTTCACTCCTCCTCACTCTGGGCTGCCTCTTGGTCCTCCTCGGGGGTGGCAATGCCTGCCTCTTCACCTGCCGTGTGGGTACAGCCATTGGGGAAAATCCACCAGGTGCTTATTCGCTAACAAAAAGTTTTCTAAGGAACAATTGCAGTTTTGCAAACTCAAAGTTCTATCTTGAAGCCATGAGCATTAGTAGCTCACACAGGAGATCCCGGGAGACTTCCCAGGGCCCATGCTGGCTGCCTGCCCTGGGCAGCGGAGACCTTGCAGTGTGCAGTGTCTAGGATTACTCAGATTATCCATGCATAGTACTCTCAGGAAGCAGAACTGGAGCTCTGGAGTAAACCGACCCCAAACTGGGTCAGCAGCCTGCAGACTCAGGACTAGGTGGATGCCTTCAGTTAGTCTGGAAGAAGCAGTAAGGACCCCGTTTTTGTTTTGTTTTGTTTGAGACAGGATTTCTTTGTGTAGCCCTGGCTGTCTCTGTCCTGGAACTAGTTCTGTAGACCAGGTTGGCCTCGAACTCGCAAAAATTCGCCTACCTCTGCATCCCCAGTGCTGGGATTAAAGGTGTACACTACCACCACCCAGCAGTTAGGACCATACTGAAGAAATGTTGTTTAAGATTTCCAGAAACTTGGGGCTGGAGATGGCTCAGTGGTTAAGAGCATTGCCTGCTCTTCCAAAGGTCCTGAGTTCAATTCCCGGCAACCACATGGTGGCTCACAACCATCTGGAATGAGGCCTGGTGCCCTCTTCTGGCCTGCACACACACACACACACACACACAGAATATTGTATACATAATAAATAAATAAATAAATAAATATTAAAGAAAAAAAAAGATTTCCAGAAACCACACCAGCAAGCCAGGCAAGAGGCGCCTGTAAACTTCTCGGGCCTCTGCTGCCCCCTTGTGGTAGTAATGCATTTCACAGCCCAGACCACCGGGGAGAGAGCAGTGGCCCTGAGCCCTGAGTGATTTTTCCCCTGTCACACACAGGCATGGCAGAGTCTCTGTGTCACAGATCAGCATTTCACCTTCCTGAATGAGATCCCATCCATGTTCCGGATCCTCTTTCTACAGCACTCACCAGACAGGTGAGGTCTCCCCTCCCCATCGCTGTATATTTCTACCCTGTTGAGAAGCGCAGCCAGGAAGCACAGCAAGGAGACATGGGCATAGCAAGCTCGTCCCACCTCAGCTCCCGTCCTGAGGCAGACTGGGCTCTCTAGAAAGCATACTGGACAGACTCAGCTAGCCCACTTGTCAGGCGTGGGCACTCGTTCAATCCAGAGACACAGGAAGTCCTCTTCTGACCCTCCTGGGAAAGGCCAGGGTGAATTTCCGTGATGATGGGGGTGCTCTGTGATCCGTGCCCACACAGGGTCCTTCTGTTAGGTCTGTGTATGCTTACGCTCCTGGGTCTTTTGTAATTTCAAGTCTCCCTTGGGTTATATAGACTGATTCGTGGGCCTCTGCCTGGCAAAGGAAACAAGGAGAGGTACCGACTGGGTGCCAGCTGCCGATTGTCTCGATGGGCTCCTGAGACCCATGTGCCTTGCCGTTTACCTCCTGTGGGAATGAGCTTGTGACCTTCATTCTACCTGCAGGTCCTGTCTGTATGGTGCCGCCTTTGAGAGACCAAAGTCCATGCCTGCACCCAAGGGGAAAACGGTCTCAGTGGGTGGTAAGCTTGGGTGTGAGCAGGGCTCCTCCCATTGACTGCAGATGGGGTACGGTGACTGTGGGACCCCCCCCCCCGACCACACAGCAGGACCTCCTGCTTCCAGATGCAGGGCTGAGGGGAGGCTGAGCCCAGGATAGAAAATAGAATCATCACGTGTTTCTAAGGGATCCAAAGGGTTCAGGCCTCCCGAGAGCTCCCCCATCAATCACCACTGTGTTTTGCCTCTGCCTGAACTTTCTGGGTACCAGACCCTGTGCTGCCCAGGGAGGAATGGGGAAGGCCATGTGAAGGCCTTTCCATCACATGCCTCGCCTCTGAGATATCAGAGTTGAAGATGTCCTCAAGGGCCTCTCACGTCTCCACTTGTTCACATAGAAGCTCTGCTCTGAGCCCTGTGAAAGCTGTGGGTGTGTCTCTACAGGTCACTGCAAGGTAATGCGGGTGACTATGAGTCAAACTATGTTCTCAGAGCTGTTGACCATGGTCCAGTGGATGCAGAAGCAGACACAGGCCCAGGTACACAGCAAAGATAAGACCCTGAACCCAAGCCCTTGAAGTCTAAGGCTCCATCTGCAGACTGCAGTCCATCCTAGGGAAAGCCAGGCTTCCAAGTCTTGGCTTGGGCAGAGTTCTGGGCCCAGATCTCAAGGGGATGAAGGTGAAGCCCTGGGAAAGGTGGGGAGCTCTCCTGACTCCTTGAGTTGAGTCTGGCGCCAGCAAAGGTACCTGCTTACCTCTTCTCTGCAGAGCATTGAGGTTAGCTGTCCTGGGTCTATCCCTACCACTGGGATACTCCATAGTGTCAGCAGAGACAGGGACAGGGCTGAGATGTCAGGACAGTCTCCAGAAAACCACTAGGAGCACTGTGCTGGGAAGGACCAAAGCATGTCAACACTCTGTCTGGAAGGGTTGAAGCTTGGTTCTTTCCCTGGGTTTTTCCCAGTTTGGTAGGAAGTCCCTATGTAGACACCCATGAACAATAGGCTGTGCTTTGGGTTGGGACAGAAATTGGACACCTTGAATGATGAGGAGCAAGACCCATGTGTGCAGAAGCTGAATAACATCCTGAAATACATGGAGGAATATATGAAGCCCATCGCCCCCCTGTTCACCTTCCCAGATGCCAGGTATCAACACGTCATTTCCTCTGAAAGTTCCCAGGAGCAGCCAGCTTCCTGTCACCAGGTGATGGGCAGTTGTCCCTAGCTGAAGAAGGAGCTAGAGACTGTTGGGCATGGGCTACAACTCCCGCAGTAACCAGAATCTTCCCGGAGCCCCAGGAAAGGTCAGCCGGGTGTAGCTGAAGGCCAGCTCCGACTCCAGATCTGAAGAGCAAAGTACCGATGTGAGCCGAGTAGCCAGCTGTGATGGGTAGAAAGCCAGAGCTGGGTCCTGAGAATGCCCTCCACATGGAAACTGGTCTCTGAGTGTCCGGTCCCTACTAAGGACAAACCTAAGAGCCTGGCTGTTCTGTGGGTTTTGTAGGCAGGAATTCAGCCACTGCAACTGCTGCTGCTGCCCCTGCCCCACTGACCTCCTGCTCTGAGGATGGTGTGGGAGAACTAGCAGGTCCCCAGGACTCAGGCTGGGCATTCATTCTGAAAGAAAAGAAGGCAGGTGGAAGGTGGCGGCGGCCTACTTGTCCAGCAGCAGGTGTCCCTGTCTGTTGACACTCTGTGAAACTCCCCTGGTATAGAGATGGCCCTCAGTGATTGCTGGGTGTAGTAGCACATGTCTTCAATCCCAGCATTCAGGAGGCAGAGGCAGGTGGATCTCTGTGAGCTCAAGGCCAGCCTGGTTTACATGGAGAGCTGTGGGCCCAGCGAGAGCTGTATTGCAAGACTGGCTATGCCTTTAAGAGACAAAACAAAGCAGCAATTATTGGCTGAGGAACAGGCTGGGTGGTGCCTCTCATAGTCTTTGAATATCTTCCTATGCTTTCTAAAGTCTGAACACAGTTGCTCTGAATTTCAGAACACAGATGACAATGTCAATGGCGGACGCAGGGAAACACAGAGCCAAAGAGAAAGATAGGAAGCCCTCTCTCCCTTTAGGTGAGTGGCAGGGGCAGACCCACCGATTCCTGAGGAGCCCGTGTGGTCACTCACCCTCCCATCAGGAAAAACCTAGGTGGGTCAGGAGTCACAGGTTCCATACCCAAACAAGTCCCACACCCAAGTGCTACCCAGGCGCCTTGAGGTCCCCAGTACACAATTACCCAAGGCGAGGTGAAAGGTCATAAATCAGTGCTTCTTGTCTTCCTAATGCAGTGACCTCATGCTGTGGTGACCTCAGCCATAAAATCATTTTCATTGCTACTTTTTACAACTGTCATTTTGCTACGGTTATGAATCATGTTGTAAATATCCATGTTTTCCGATGGTCTCAGGCAACCCCTATGAAGAGTCATTTGGTCCCCAAAGGGGTCTCGACCCATAGGTTGAGGACCACTGCCCTAGAAGGTGCTGGGCATGGAGACTGACGGCTCACTGAAAGGGGTTGTCAAACAGCAGAGCCACCCTGCCCTTTCTGAGAAAATGGTCACTTCTTGACACACACAGTGCCTGTAAGCAAGAGCAATAGTGCTGACCCAGCCGTCGCTACCCTGGCCAGGCAGGAGGAGGTGGCTCTGCTGAGTCTGCTGATGTTTCTAGGAAAGATGGGGATTGTGGGCCTGCCTTAGGGAGCTCATCAGAGGCAGCCACGGGAAGGCGCTCTGTCCCATCCACCTGGTACTCATATGTGGTCTCTGCTGGGGGCACTGTCTGTGGGTATCTTTAGCACAGCCCTGCAGATTTGATTCCTGCTGAAAAGAATGGGAGGATGCTCTTTTTTTAAATTATAGTATAATGTGGCATTTTATTTATTCTGTCAATTAAAAATGCAATTAAAATATTTATAATATTAATTGAACTTAATCTAAGAAATCAATTATCATGTTTTTACATGTCAATATTGGGTATTAAAAGGACAGTCAATATAATTATGTTCAAAATTATTCATCCCCAAACTTGTAAATATTTGGTGTTGGGATGCTACATAACTCCTGGCAGGAAGGTCGAGTGGGTGCCATCTTGGCTACTTCTGTGATTTCACTAACTTCTTTTTTAAAAGGCAATTTCCTATCTTAAATGTTGTCTGGTTTTCTATTCCCACAAAGAATTATTGACATATGGCCAAGCGGATGGCTGTTTGCCCTCCTCCCCCTCAAAAAAGCCACAATCCTCCTCCCAAGTCAAGCTGGTCATACTGCCATGACCCAGACGTAAGCACTGCAAGACCTGCAAGTTGTGAATGAGTTAGACCTGAATTGGGGCGAGGGGAGGTGGTGCAGAATTATTGCCTCAACCAGGGGTGTGGAGGCTTCACACTCTGTGGGCAGGCTGGTCAGGTCCTGGGTCCTCGCTCCTAGACTGAGTCTCTGCCTTGCATTAAATTCCCAGGATTACAAACACGAACAAAGAGTCACTGCTGGGTTTCAGGCAAACCTGCTCTGGCTCTGAAAATTAAGAAAACACAGCTGAAGTGTCCGTGGCCCCGCCTCTGGGTACCAGCATAGCTGCAGGCAGAGTGGCAGTCCTCAGCAGTCCGCGGCACATATCTGTGGGCAGTGAGAGGCTACCGTTTGGGTCAAGAGAGCAAGCCTTCCTTCCAGGATGCTCTGGAGGACTCACTGTTTGAGAAGTCCTCTGGGAGGAGTTTTCATCAGCCTGGACTTTACCCGTCATGCCTTGGGAGTCAGGTGTCCTGAGATGTAGCATCCTGTAAGGTGTGCCGCTAAGTCTGGGCTCTTGCCCAGGTCCACGCTGTGAGCTTGATCTCACCATCCAAACCAGCGGCTGCCTCAGGGACCCTAGCATGCCATCAGTGCAGCTGTGCATCTGCAAGCTGGGCTGGGGCTGCACTTTTCCCTCGTACCTCCATGGCGGGGACAGCTGCCACCAGGCCAGTTACCTAGACACGAAGTCAGGGCTTGGAGTGATGAAGCCCAGGCTCTAGGGTCTGCCCTGCGCCCAGAGCTAGTCTTTCTCGTGTTTGAGCTGCTGTCGTTTCCTTTCCGCAGGGCAGCCTTACCCCGAGTACATGATCCTGATCGTAGACAAGCTCCTTCTAGAGCTGCCCCTCGAGGGGCTCTCCTTGCTCAGTGAGGTCACCTCCCTGTCAAGAGAGTTTTCTCTCCAGATGCTATGGAACCGTCTCCACAAGGAGGAGCTAGGTGAGTCGTGCCTTAGCCACAGTAATGCTTAATCTCAAAATGGGCACTTTGAAATTACATTTCAGATAAAACATCGTTAACTCCTGTCGAAAGGTAAGGAGCAAGGCACTGGGGGTGCAGCCCAGTGTGGAGCATTGACCAGCATGTACAAGGCCCTGGGCTCTATAACCAGCCCTGCAAACAATTGCCAAGTGTTTTTAACATTTTCCTTGGCCCTTATTCACTCAAAATCAGTTCCAGAATAGACACTTGGTGCTGCGAATGGAAAGCCCACTTGAGTCCATGTTAACACAGTAAAGAAGAATCCTGCTGATAAAAAAATATAAAAAAAAAGCTACTTGCATGCTTCAATGTATGCATGCAACAATGTATAAACAGCAAAACCTCATTATAGTATATAAATGAATATGTGGTGAACATTTTCAATAAAATTAAATTTTATGTTGTAGAAGGTACCACTGAACTGACAGAAACTTTCAATTTAGAAAAGTATAGTAAATATTAAACATTTTGTATTAAAAAAAATTAACACCCAGAATCGTTTGGTTAGATGTGGAGGGACAGTGAGGGAAAACAGGCCCTGAGTCAGGCCTGGGCAAGGCAGAAAACAAGGATTTGGGGGCCATCACCTGTGAGACCGCAAGATACTTCAGTCTGTGAAAGTCCTCTAAACTGTGCCTGGGGCATACTGCGACTTTGGAATACATGTTGTACATCAATAAATCGCAAATTGGAGCCGAAAATGTGGCTCAACGGTAGAGCATTCACCCAGCGCCAACAAAGCCCTTGGTTATAAACCCAGGACTGCAAAAAGTGAAAAGCAGTCAGTAATCAATAAATACCAAATAAAGTTAAAAATCGATTAGGCTTCTGCTGCTACTCCAGATAAAATAATATGAGCCATATTCTTCCAACCAAGATGACGAGAAGCCGGAAAAGAGGAAGCAAGGTACCAGCCAACCCAGGGTGGCAACATCCTCCAAGAGAGAGGAAATACATGCTGTCTTAGGGTTTCTATTGCCCTGGAGAGACACCATGACCACGGCAACTCTTGTAAGGGAAAAAGATTTAATGGGACTGGCTAACATTTCCAGAGGTCACGGGACATGGTGGCATATGCAGGCAGACACGGTGCTGGAGCAGGAGCTGAGGGTCCTACATCTTAACTAATAGGCAGCAGGAAGTGGTGTGAGACACTGGGTGATATCTTGAGCATGTGTGAGACCTCAAAGCCCACCTCCACAGTGACACACTTCCCCCAACAAGACCACACCTACTCCACAAGGCCACCCCTCCCAATAGTGCCACTCCCTTTGGGGACCATTTTCTTTCAAACCAGCACACTTGACCCAGGAGCTTCTTAGAGACTTGTGACTCAGACATGGGCAGTAACCCAGGAATAACCCAGGAGGCTCCTGGGCTGAAGGCATGCAGCTAGGAGCCTGGAGGGGAAGCTGAGAAACTTGGGGGACAGCACAGCGAGAGGTGACAACTGTTTAAAAAGATCTACAGAGGACCCCATGGAGGCCAGTGGAAGTGAGGCCAGCAATAGTGACCCCAAAGGTCAGGGAAAGAAGCAAGCAGCCATGGAGCAAGGGGGTGATAGCTTTTCATTTAAAAAAAAAAAAACCGGGTGGTGGTGGCGCACACCTTTAATCCCAACACTTGGGAGGCAGAGGCAGGCGGATCTCTGTGAGTTTGAGGCCAGCCTGGTCTGCAAGAGCTAGTTCCAGGACAGGCTCCAAAGCTACAGAGGAACCTTCTCTCGAAAAAAAAAACAACAACAAAAAACTGTTTAAAATATCTTTGAACAGACAGTTGAGTGAAAGGAAATAAGGAAATAAGAGCAATACTTGTGGGATTTCCTGACAGGCATGGCAAGACCAGAGCAAGAGCTGCGGGGAGCTACTATGCAGGCTCTGCCAGGGCCCTATGCAGTAACTGATGCAGGGCGGCATCGCTTAAAGGGGGATTGTGGTAAAATGCAAACTAAACCCTCAAGCAAACATGAAGAACAATCCAAACCCCGGTGTTCACTGGAGATTGGTGCTGGTGGGGAGTGGGGGGAAGAAGCAGACTGTGGGAGGCACACACTGAAACTCCACACACATCCACAGCTGCTAGGGCAGCTGCAGTTGGGCAGGCCAGTGTGGAGGGTGAGGACTGGAGGCCTCTGTGCCCGAGACCGAGCAATGGATGGACGAGTTTGGAATGGTGGGTAGATACAGTGGGTGTCCATCAGAGGAAATGGGGTCCGCCGGGTGAAGGAACACCTGTTCTCCCAAGTCTGTGGCATTCCCATTCACAGTGGCCTAAGTGTCCATCCCTGGATGAAGAGTTACAGAAGATGTTGTGTATCTATACAACAGCCGTAGAGAAGAGGAGGGTTGCTTTAAGACAACATGGGTGAGCCTGGTGGGCCTTATGCTGGGCACAGACAGCAAGCATACACTATGCCGCTGATCCTGGGAATCTCAGAAAGTTCATCTCCACAGCAGAGAGAAAGGGACAGGCAGGGGCTGGAGCCAGGAGCTGTTGCCAAGGGCACAAAATCCTAGTTGCAGGAAAAAGTTTGAGAGCTTGGTTGGGCGACATGGTGATGGTGGCCAATGCAATGCCATGTTTCTTCTGGTTTTTTGCTCTTTTTTTTTAAGTGGCAAAGAGTGGGGCTTAGGAGATTCTGCCAAGCAGCAGCGAAGGGAGTGTGTGGTGTGACCATTTGGCAGGCTCAGCTCCACTAGTCCGGTGTATATGTGCTTCAGAGTGGCCTGCTGTGCACCAATTGTGTTTCTCAATTCACATAAAGAATGAATGATTAAATTAAAAATTTTAAATAATAACTAAATGGAAAGATCCGCTGTTCTGTGTAGTGGGGAAGGAGCAGAGGCACACGCTTGCCCACTGTTGGCGGGACTGCGGCTGTTGCTGGGAGGGCACGCAGGACAGCCACCCTGGGAAGTGGTCAGGGAGGTCATAAAAAGTTACACGCTGGCCCACAGGTGATACATGCACCCCTCTCCTAGGTCTTTATACAAGAGATACGAAGGCATGTGTAGACAGAAACTTTCTTAGGTCATACAACTCCCTGTGACAGTCCAAACCTTGTCTTTGCAGAGTTCTGGGGACTTGATCTGGCTGGGACCGGTGAGGGAACGAAGACATCACACACACACACACACACAGAGAGAGAGAGAGAGAGAGAGGAGAGAGAGATTGGGTGGACTGGGCTCCCTGACAGAGAAGGCAAAGGACCTTGCTGGAAGCTCGGCATGTTTGTTAGAGAGTTGAACAGAAAGACAGGGTTATTGCATAGAGCTGGACAAGGGGATGGGTTATTACAGACTAATAAACATGGAGGCAAAATTATTATGAAGAGCTAAACAAATCAGCTAACCTCGGTAGGAGTGGTAGTGGAGGAGCAGTCCTCCACTTACTGTAAGGAAAAAGTTTAGCACGATTAATAGAAACCCAGAGATAGAAATTGGGTTCAATCTAATGGTCAGAAAAGCAAAACAGCCAGCCACTGGCTCTTACCTCTACCTCAGTCTGAAATGGCGATTCTGCCTCCGGGAATCCCAGGATGAGACTGAGTGTGAGAGCTGTCTCCTCCCATCTTATATTTCTCTTTAGGGCTAGGGTTAATGGTGTGCACCATTACTGCCCTATTTCTGTGGCTACTAGTGTGGTTACTGGGATTAAAGGTGTGTCACCACTTCCTGGTCTGTAAGGCTGACCAGGGCAGCTGTTTTACTCTCTGAACTTCAGGCAAGCTTTATTCATTAAAATACAAATGAACTATCACTACAGAAAGCCATGGTGGACTTTTCTTAACACACTACCAACATCCAAACATGGACTAGAGGAAGGTTTAGCCGTTTCCTTCCGAGTCTTACCTTGGGGTATGGGATGGACTTTGCCATTTTCCCTTTCGTTAAGGTCTTCCTCTGACCCCCACAACTGAGCAGGCTCTTGATGGTCATTTGAACACCCTCTTGGATGGATGGCACACGGTAACATATCATCGGTGAAGAGACTATGCCCAGAGAAAGACCCAAAAGAGGGCACACAGCAGATGCCTTCATTTCTGGAAAATTCTAGAAAAGGCAAATTGGTTTCCTCTTCGAAAGCAAATAAGTAGCTACTTGGTAAGGATAAAGGCCTCAGGAAGTGCAAGACTGAGATGCATCTGAGGGCCTGTGTGAAGAGCAAGCTGACTCTGACAGAAGTCATTCTCTTAGTGTGCCCCTGAGAAGTGTCCTTGGCAAAATGAGGATGGCAGAGAGCCAGGCCTATGCCTCAACCCCACTGCCTGTGGAAGCCCCACCCTGGAAGGCAGAAAAGGGAGTGGAAGGCAGAGGGTGGAAAAGGGTGAAGATGGTCACAGTGGGGTACAAAGCCATTCACACGTAATCTCTGGAAAGAGCTGCTCACTTTCCCCGCTGAGCATAGGAAAGACACAGGCGAGACCCTGGGACCATCAGGGGCCCAAATACTACAGGCATTCTGGTGCTTTCCTGTGTGAGAGGTCAGTGGTCAGAAACGGGTACCTCGAAGCCTTGGGGCTGGTCGTTCCTCAAGAGCTTTTCTTGGGCCTGGGAAGCTTTGTGTTTTGACGTGACAAAAATGGGAATCAATGGTTCTCAACCTTTCAGAGTCACGAAATTCAAAATTCGACCTGAGCAGCACCTAGCGCCTTCGCGGTGCCGCATGCCTGCTGACAAGTCATACTTGTCTTTGTCCTCCACAGAAGGCAGTATGAAGAAAGAGGTCAAAAACAAGGAGTTCAAGAAGAAAAGCCCAGGAAAGAAAGGCACGAAGGTAGGTGGGTGGGAGCCCAGGGGGCCCTTGCTCCGCTCGGCCTGAGTTCAATAAGGCCCAGTTGGTGGCCCAGGCATTGACGCCTTTCTCTGTGTCACAGAGCGCCATAATCCGGGTCATCCCACCAGAGTGCATCCTAATCGACTCGGACACTATCAAGTGTATCCTTTGCTGAGTGCTCATGGCCCCCAGGACTCTGCTTTCGTTCTTGAGCTTGTCCTTGACTCAGACCCAGTTGTCGTGGACCCTTATGAGAAGGCCCACGGCAAAGGTGAGAGCGTCATGGGGCCCTTGGTATCATGGATGTACGGAAATTACCTCAAGTGGCCTTGGAGCCTTGGGTCTGGACACAAACTGACCGCCTTGACACTCTAAATACTTTGGGGCCTCCTCACCTCTTTCTTCTTTCTCCCCCTCCCCCCTCTGTTATTCATCTCTTCCGACTGCTTATCCTCTGCCAGTTCCTCCATCTAAAGAGGAAAGCAGAGGCGCCAACACTCCCACCTGCACTTAACACCCTCTCCTCCCCAGCCTCTGTCCAATCCCAGCGGCACAGGGCCCCATCCCTCACGCTTTGATGAGGAAGTCATGGCCTCTCTCTTTCAATTCTTGCTGCAGAGGTGCTGAGCCCCTTTTCCATAACCCAGGACATCCTGGAGAAGTTCCGAGATACTTACACTGCACGTTGGACGGGGCATCTGGGAAGCTTAAGCATTCCAAGGTTGGAACCTGGGTCTCCAAAAGCTGACTAAAGAGGCTGGTGCCCTCATGTGACTCCTTCCCTGCTGGCTGGATCTGCTCTGTAGAGCCCCAGGCACAGCAATAGGCAAGGGGTTCTAATCCCAGGGTCACTCGCCCACATGTGACCTACCCCAAGTGACTTTAGGTCCCCTTCAGGCAAAACCACTCAAAGAAGGTATACTACTAGCATAGGGTTAGGTAACTTCATGTCACTGGTCTCTGTCCGTTGATATGTATGGAACTGGGTCAGAGGGAGCCAAGTCAGTTGGTACAGGGGTAGAGGAGTAAGGCTGTCTGGGGCTGGGGTAGAGGTAGGACAGGGATGGTGACGAAGACCATATTAGAGGTTCTATAGTACTTCCCAGAGCCAGCCCCACTGGTTTGAGACGCATGTCTGTTTTTAAACTGCCATTCTCAGTGGGGATGTCCGTCTGAGGACAGCTATACACTGGGAAAACAAAAATAATCTGGGCCCCACGACAGAATTAAGGGTTCTGTACGGGTGGCAGGGGACATTCCCTGCTGGACAAACAGATCTGGAGGAGGGGCTTGCAGATGCATGCCCCAGCCCAGATGTGTGATCACACAGCTCTTTCCACCCTGTGTAGCCAGACTGACTGGGAGCAGGTACTGGACAGCTGCCGAGGCTTTTTCTTCTACGGGATGGAGAGCAGCTTCCTGTCCCGCCTGGTAGTGGAAAGACTGGTAGCCATGGATCTGCAAGGTGAGACCCCGTCCCCCATCGGCAGCCCCAGCCAGTAGTGCTGCTTCTTGATCCAGAGTCCAAGGCTCGGGTTGCTTCAGGAAGGCCTAGCACCCTATCCTAGCCTGTCCTCTACCTATCTGAAAACTGTCCCTGTACTCCTTCCAACAATGGTATGGCAGCCACAGGGCCACTAACTGCCCTGGTAGCCCTCAGCACCTCCTTGTATGCAGAGGACCCCTGTTCAGACCTCCAGACCCCCCCCTCATAAGAGTCAGCTGTGGAGTGTTACCTCCTATGGCTGGTCTAGTAGATACCAGAACCCTTCCAGTGTGAACATGGGTGTTTTGAGAGCCTTGTTCTCTCTGTGTGTCTGCTGACAACAGGCCCAGGAGGCCAGTGAGTCCCAGAAGTGCTGTACCCAGACATCCCAGGGAACCAAAGGGGTTCAGAGAGTTGGTAGAGGACACAGAACCAGGTGATGTACGGAGTACGGTGTGCTCACAGGCACCTGGCCAGCAAGGCCATACTGACACAGCCCTGACAACACACTGCACTCCAGGACAGCAGGCCTGGTGTTCAGACCCATGGAGAGTGTGCTTCAGTGTGCTGGTCTCTGTGGGCCACAGCCATCTCAGCAACATGGCCACAGACTTCTCTGGTGTGTCCACATTCTTCCCCATACTCCAAGGTCTTATCCCCACTCACAGGAGGCTGTTTTCTCTTGGCTGCTCAGGGCCAGCCGCCTTGCATAGCCAATAGATAAGCCTTCTCAGGACCTCAGAGATGTCCCTTCCTCCCTCGTGAGCCATATGGTCACTTGCAGGTTTACATAGCAGCTGTCTGAATGCTCTTTCCACACCAAGACACCCGTGTCCACCATGGCACGTGCTGGCCAGGTCTACTTCCACGTGCATACACCAGTCATACGCAAGTAGAGTGAGCAGGAGCCCCATCGCCAGAAACACTCAGAAGACATTTTTTGTCCCAGTGATGGAGAAAGCCCTCTTAGAAGGACTAATTCACATAAAGTAGGGGACACATGAGGCACGTGCTACAGTCCTTTCTAGTGTCCCCTGTCCCCAGAAGGCCATGTCCCTTCACAGATGGACATTTTCCCTTTGGGGACAGTTGCCAAAGCCCATCTCAGGGCTCAGAAACAAGAACAACCTTCGCCTCTGGGTCCATATTGGTCCTGTAGGTAATCATGCCAGAAACACACACTGCCGCTTGTCTCAGTGCGCATGCCTGTCTGGGGGGGGCACTCATACTCAGACACTTGGGACCATCTCACATCCCAGAAGCTCTCACATCCACAGCAAACTGAGGGGCGGTAAGTTTGGTCAGCATCCAAAGCCTCTAATATTGCAAGGGTACCTTTGTCTGGTCCCTCTTCAGGACCAGCTTCTTATACCACACCACACTGCAGGTAAGTTCTGAGGTGAGGTTCTCTCTCTCTCTCTCTCTCTCTCTCTCTCTCTCTCTCTCTCTCTCTCTCTCCCCACCAGTATGGAATCCCAGAAGCTTCCATAAGCGATGGGGGAGTAGAACCGCTTATGCTAGGAAGAATTAGGGGTGGCCCTGAGTGCCTATTTCCTATTGCTCCCTATTTCCTGTGTGCACTCACTGGGTACCTGAAAAAAAAACCTGTTGAGAGCCCAAGCCTCAGGCGAATTAGTCAGAGTACAGCTCCCATGGGGGTCTGGTAATGGTGTGGGTGACCACTGAGGAGCCTCACTGTGTCCTGCAGATTGCCAGATGATGGTCCTACTGGACTTGACCAAGTCCTCTGAGAGCCGGAAGCGCAAGGCAGAGTCCTCAGAAAACAAGAGGTACTTAGTGTCCTTGTGTCATCGGGAGCCTGTGGATGGGGAAGGGGGTGTTGTGAGCAAGTGCTGGTACAGTTCGGCTCACCCCAGGGATGGGTGGACTACCAGAGTTGGCTGGCCAACACCTTCCACCTCATGGTACCAAGTCCACTGCTGGTGGGCTCCAAGCTAGGGCTAGGAGCTGTTACTGGATGGTTTTGACAATACTCAAAAAATGCTATTTCCTGTTAAATGACATTTAACTTTTACATGTGAGATTGAGAGCCGTTGGCGTAGGACAGGATGGAGGGAGGGCCACCAGTCCCTTGGTACTAGTCCATGTATCCCCACAGCACATCACAACTGTCCTTGGAGAAGCCCATCAAGACCGCCATCCTTCTGAGCCTGGTAGGGGTTGAGAGCATTGTGGCTAACCAATGGCCCACGCTGCTGCAGGACAACGCACTGAGGGCCACCACCCTATGGGATAGTGAGTGGGCACCCTGGCTATCCCAAAGTCTCCTTGGGCTTTTGCTAGAAGCTTGCCAAGGGTGTCCATAGCCCACCTGAAGGGTCTTTTTTTTCTGCCCTAGACCTGCTAGCATTTGGCAAGCCACTTGGGAAAACAGTTCGTCTCATTCAGAGGCTAGGCAATGAAACCATTAACCAAGGTAAGGTAGAGACTGCCCTTCCATCTGCATGTCTGTGTAATGTGGTTACGTTGTATCTGCCCTCAGGGACAGGGTGCTCCCCACTTCATGAAAGAAAAGGAGAGGGAGAGGGAGGGAAGGAGGGAGGAGGGAAGGAGGGAGAGGGCATAAACCAATAAGCATTGTTCTTGTGGAGAAGCCGATGTGATCTGCTCAGCCTCTGGGTGAGCTGGAGCTGAACAAGAGCAGAGGTGGGGGGGGAGGAAGGAGGGAGGGAGGGAGGGAGGGAGGGAGGGAGGGAGGGAGGGAGGGAAAAAGCTCAGCTGTATCCTCTAAGAAGAGATGGGGAAACCTGGGTGGTCTCTGTACTTTCTCTCTGCCCAGAGAGAGGACTCTAGGAACTTGGCCACCTAAGCTGCCTGGCCCATGGACTCCATGCAGCCGCATGGTCTCCCTAAGCCAAGACAAGAGAACATCTAGGAGGAGGAACTCCCAGACTGAGGGTGTGTCCTGCTAGAGCCAGGAGGGCCGCTCTACTCTCATCTCCTGTCCCAGTAAAATTTCCAACAGCCTCTAGCCTGGGGCAGAGGTGGGGTAAAGCTTCAGGCAGGGCTGGAGGATGTTGCCTGTTCTACAGGAGACAAACTCCACCTACCCATCCTTCAAACAAACCTTGTGCCAAGATGCGCCAGCTGCGGTGAAAGAATTTGCAGATAAATTTCACATGTGGATACTAGTGTTAAAAAAAAATCAGATAAAACTCTGGCTAATTGCATTTAGCAATACACTAAAGTGAAAACGGAGCATAACTCAAGAAGATTTATCCAGGGAGGGAAGAAAATTGAGAAATCTGAAATACATTCTATACAACTCAGCGGGAGATTAACTTCTGAGAAATCGTGTGCTCTCCGGTGCCTGGGATGCAGCTGCCAGGGAAACGAGGGGAGCTGAGTGTGTAAATGAATTTGGAAGAGTGAATGAGTGGATGGTGAATGAGTGGCTGAGGAGTGGGCGGGCGAACACGTGAGTGTATTCGTGAGTGAAGGAGGGAGGGAGGGAGGGGGGAGGGAAGGAAGGAGGGAAGGAGGGAGGGAGGAATGAGGCTGCGAGCTAGGGATTGAATGAGTACATTTGTGAGAACCAGTGAGAGCAAGCAGCTGAGTAGTCAAGTAAAAGAAGAGGGACCAGAGAGGTGGACAAAGGTGGTGAAGCCTGGCACTCCTTCCTAACAAGCCAGAAACAGGACTGGGCATGACTCTGCCCCTTCCTTCTGCTCTCCAGAGTGGCCAGCGTGCTTCTTTGCCATAAACAGAGAAAGAGCAAACCGTACAGGTCTCTAGTTCCTGTCATCACAGAGGGGCCCAAGCATGTGTTAGGGAGGAAGCGACCAAATGATGCTTATGCCTGTGGGTCGTCCTGCCCAGGGTATGGGCGCCTCTGGGCTTCACAGAGGAAGCTATGAGACCAGTCTCCAGGTTCAAGATGTGTCAGGAAGTCCAGAGGAATAGACAGGGACTTACGATTAGATGTGATCACGTTCTGGTGCCGTCATTAACAACCACAAAACCAGACCACCATAGCTTCTACACTTGACAGCACTGAGGAGCAGGAGGTAGCAAGGCTGTTGTGGTCAGGCTGCAGGAAGAAATCATGGCTCCTTGCAGCCAGAAGCACCAGCCTGCTCCCTGATGCTCTCCTCTCCCTGGTACCATCATGCCCTTGGTGAGGCTGGACATCCTGGCAGCACCCAGGCTGCTGCCAGAGAGCTCTGGGGTTTACAGCTTGTGTCTCATGCTCCACAGATGAGGTTCCCCAGGCCTCCAGTGAAGAGATATTCTCTGACCTGCAGGCTCAGCGCTTCGAGCCACGTCCCACCTCCCTTGGCTTAGTTCTGTACGGACTGCCTCACCAAGCCATCGTGTGAGCTAAATCCCGGAATCTGTGGGGCCACTGTCCCTAGTTCTAACCCTCCGAGGAGCCTCCACACGCAGGACTTTTCCCTCACTTTCTGGGGTTCACGCCAGCACTGACACCGCCTGATGTGTGTCCTTCTGTCCATGATACATATCCCGAGAAGACGGCTGTTGGTGGGTGTACCACCTACGCTCCTGCTTGTCCTCTAGCCCGCAAGTTTGTCTTCTGCTTCAGTGTTTTAGTAAACAGCTAAACTTTACACATAACTAAATGTGTGGTGTGTTTCTGGAGGTCCAGGACAGGAACTGGGGCGTCTGGCTATGATCACCACCACATTCGGATGCCGTCAAAGCTGACAGGAGGACACTATCCTTGTGTGAGCTAAGGGCCGCCACACTCACCCCACACACCTCTGGAGACGTGTGTGGTCCTCCTGCCCCCTGCTCTCCTGGCTGCTGTGTCAGGGCTCTTGGGAAAATACCCATCCTCTCCATGATCCTTCTGCAGTTCCCAACAGGCTTTCCCCGGTATGGTCGTCAAGGTAGTCCATGAGGTCCCGGAGGGCGCTTTCAGCCATGGACTACAAAGCCCAGCTGTGGATTCTCTTTGCCCATTCTTGCTCTCTGGCCAGGAAAGGGGAGAGCAAAGAGCAGTCTACAGGGCAGAAACTTGAAGTCCCAGTGTGTTTCATGAGCTTCCCTGACTGCTACCTCTGCTAAGGGGTCAGGGTGGAGCTATTTCCCATTTTCTCTGCTAATGACACAAGCTACAGAAAGAGCAGAGGGTCATTTCACCTCATGGTTCTGGTGGCCCAGGGGATTGCATCCAGCAATGGCCTTCCTGCTAATAAGAGTTCTGTGTCCCAAGGTGCCGCACACATCTGACAGTGAGGGGCAGGGAGTTCACCTTCCCTGGTCTCTGTCCTTCCTTTCATAAATCCACTAGGATCCAGTCGTAGGGTCTACACCATGAACCTGTTAAATCTCAGTCACTCTCGAAGCTGGGCCCCAAACACCCACCTTTTCAAAACTCACAACAGGTGTTGACTTCTGGATACCAGCTCTTGCGGGGCACACAGACCATCTCAGAAGTGGGGCTCTTTCTTTGTTCTGAACTAGAGCAGTGAAAGCAAGGGCTGCAGGGCTAACCGACAGCTGTTCCTCGTCCTAAGCCTTGTGGGGCCCAGAGCTGTCTCCATAGAACTGGTGTCAGATGGATCTCCCTGGGGGAAATGTCACCTAAAGGAAGGACAGGGTCTGAAGGAAACATTCTTGACAGCTGGGTGCATTTCCAGAGCACCAGACCTGCTCAGTGCCCCTGTGCCTTGCTAGTGTGTGCTCGCCTCTCCTTGCTCCTGGTTGTGCACAGAGGGACTGACACCAAGGCTTCCTGGGTTGGGACACATGTGGTCAAAAATTGTGTTTAACAAAACACACATTAATATCTACTGAAACAGCTGTCAAAAGACAATGCAGCCAATGCCACACAACACAGCTACCATGCCAGGAGAGATCTACACAAAACAAAACCTGCAAACCCTTCCTCAGCCCTGAGTGCAGTCTTGGATCCTTCTTTATCCCTGAGAAGTGGCGTCTCATTCCCCAACCCTCATACATATACCTGAGTGTTCAGATCAGCCTTACTCGTGATGACCAAACACCAGAAACAGCACAAATGTCCTTCAGTAAGCAGAAGACACCATCCACGTCACATCACAGTGTGGATCAGTGTCCCTTCACCGTGACAAAGGATGGAGGCTGATTCTGGCTCCCAGTCTTGCTCTGAGTCTGTGTAGAGGCAGTGCGACACAGTGGAGACTGTGGTAAGTAGAGCTGCCTGCTCTATAGCCAGGAGGTAAACGGAACAGAGGCTGGGGTCCCACAAACCCAAAGACCTAAATAACCCCTTCCTAACTGGGCCCAGTCTCCCACAGCATCACTCTAGGAACCAAGTTTCCGACATACGGGCCTCGGGGCTTCAGAGAAGACTGTAGCACTCATTCTTGTACACAAAGAATGTACAAACACAAACACAAGCCATCGATGTAGTCACCTAGATGGACCTGGAGGGTCCCTGGTGGGAAATAGAAGCCCCTGTCAAAAGTTACAGGATTTCATTAGATAACATTATCAAATAGCAATGCGTAGAGACCAGTGAGTCAGGCTTGCCAGAGCACAGGGACAGATCTGGGAACAGCAGCGGGAAGCCTGGTGACAGCCCCATTTGCATCTTAACTGTGGCAGTGACACCCATCTGCACAGGAGGCAGTATCTCAGCTACTACACGGGGCAGAAGCATGATGACCTCACCAACACCTAGGACCGGTGCCACCGGCTCTGTTTGCTATGCTAAGTGTTGCCACTGGGGAAGGAGGGAGAGGGACTGAGGCCTTATATCCTGAAGGCTGGGATGAAAAGAAACCACAGACAGCACCAAACCCCAGAGGGGAATGTGGGAAAACACAAGAGTTGTTACCAGGGGATACCAAAATCAGCCTCTGCTGGAGATGGGTTCCCTTTTATGTCCTTCTCCCTCTTCGGTGCCACAGATTTGTGCTTTGTTCTATTAGCTGATAGAACAAGTCCTGAGATTCCAGGACAGTGAATCTGACACCTGAGATGGTGGCCCAAGCCTAGCAGGCAGGTAGCGCATAACGAGATCCACTTTGGTGGGACGCTATGATGTCATACCTCATGACAGTGACCACATTCACAAGCTACACAGAACAGTACGCAGCTTGTCCCAAGCTGCTGAATTGTGGGCTTTTCCCCTTGTTATTCCCAACCTCACTTGAAGTCAGGCGCCTGAAACCCTCAACAGTGCGGGATGGGCATGGGGGCTGCACACTGGTTTCTGGCTTCAGTGGATCTAAACTTAACCGGGCACACACATATGTCAAACGAACATCTCCGATGGCGTTGGAAGGGTTGTGCGCGATTCTCCTCTATTTTGTTTGATTCCTTTCCTTTTAAAAACAAATATGCATACTTGTTCCAGAATTAGAAAAAAAACCTCAGAGCTAACTAATGACCAGGGGATAAATTCAAATCTGAGCTGTACTGGAAATATGAGCTTTCCTCTACAAAGACGTTGGCACGCACCCAAACAACAAGAATAAAAGCTTCTGAAAATATTTCATCTGCAGTATCACATTCTTCACCTCACACCGTGTCTGCTCATGTGAGAAATATTAAACAGTGAGTGCTATTCCATGTATCAACGGCGTTAGAATAACTTTCTGAATTATGTCCCAGCAACATAACAAATCACATTATCAATTAGCTCCCGCGGCAGAAGTGGCATTCTGTAATATATTCAAGCATGAAAAAATTGCACAGGTGAAATTTATGTAACCCTAAAAACTATGAGGAGAAAAAAGATTGCTTGGGATTTATTGGTCATAATGGGAGACAGGATGTAATTCCAGCGGTGGATGGCCTCCGAGTAAGGCACCCAGCCCTGCCTCTTAAGATGCCTCTCCTGGGGGTAATAGACTGGAAAGGAGGCAGGGGCATCGGACACAAGGGTGATAGCTACTGTCCACATCCGGCTTGGGCTTCCCTGATGTCAGGTGACCCTGAACCAGTGGGTAAGGTGGGGATGGGGCCATCTGCAGGCTGCTGTCACCTCTGAGCCAGCACAGTGAGAAAGGAGCCAGGCTGGGTGGTCTTTACCTCAACCTTAAGCAGGTCACTCAATAGTCCCACCTTCTCCTCTGGGAAATTCCCAGGAGATGCAGGAGCCAGGAGTTACCTGTGTAGGGCTAGGAAGAGTAGGGGGCCAAAGATCTGACCCCATCCAGCCCCTTGACAATAGTGAAGGGTGTTGTCCACATAACCGTCAGCCCAACATCCACTGTGGATTCTCTGTAAGTGTCCACACCAGGCCAGCAGCCTTCTCCACTACAGCTTGTCAATTAGCTTCTAATTGTTCCTCTAGTCTCTTACGTGGTGAAAATTTCCAATTTTTAAAATAAATATTTTTGTTAACTGTTTACAGAAGAAAATTTGGAAAACAAGAAAAGCATGCGTGGGGTAAAAACTCTCTCGTAGTCCATACCACCGCTGCATCGATGCCTGGTGGGGATGTTCCTCCCCGGCCTTTCGCACCTCCCCCAGAGCCTTCACTTTAGGAGGTGAAGTATACTGTATCTCGTGTTTTTAACCAAATCCCATTTAAAACATCCTTTCCTTCCAACATGGGGCAGCCAAAGCTGGGAATAGGCCAGAGGTCCCCAGCAAAACCTTTCTGCTGATGCTGTAGCCCTTATCTCCTAGAGACAAGATCCCAGTACCTAGAATTATCTAGGCACAGAGCTTGGGGCTACCTGATGGACCACCTAAGAGAGGGACAAGAGGACATGGGGGACAGTGGAGACTACAGTCAAGTGGACTGCAGTCCTGGGCAGAGACACGGATAGGCACATCCCGTGTCCTTGACTCAAGTCTGATCCCAGCAGCCATCTTGTCTCCCTTGTGCCTGGTGCCCCTTGCTCACACTCCTTGTCTATTACTCCTGCCCAAGGAATTTTGAAAGGCAGAGCTGGGTGCCTTCCTCTGGGAAGTTTTAACCCAACATGAGAGCCAGGCCTTTGAAGATCAGGCCCCCCACTCTGCTCTTATCCACTCAGGAGCCACCCCTGGTTTCTGAAGAGGAATCACCAAAGTTAAGGCCCACATGCTGTACCAACACTTCTTAACCATTTCTCATTATGTTCTCCAGATCATCACTTTTGGGGGTCACCCTGCTTAGGATAGCACTCAGATGGTGGCCCCAGGCCCCTGCTCTGTGGCCTGCCCAGTCTTAGGCCACCATCATCCACACAGGAAACCATAACCTCTTCTGCCCAGGTCTGGTTCCCCCAGGGTCATTGCATGTAACACACAGAGCTGCTGGTGGAACTTTTGGGGCTCCCTGAATTGCCCCTAGAATTTCAAGGTAAGACTCCCCTACTTCCACATGGCCAGAGTGCCCATCCACCAGCCACTTCCCAGACGCCTGCCTGCCCCTGCCCTGCCTATCCTGTCTACCCTGCCCAACTTCCTCCTGTCCAGTCAATCCAGAAGTTGCAGCCACAGCTAAGGTAGCCTCTGGCTGGTCTGGATTAAGGAATTAGGCAGGTTAATAAAACTAAAATGTTCGTAGACACTTGTATATAAATTTCTATTAAGTTGCCTTGTCCAGCATTGGTCTGTAATAGTTTAATTTCTGTATTAAATAATTAAAACCCTATTTTCAATTGCTGTGAACAATT